GTAATGGACTTTTAAAATATATCTTACCTTAGATCAGAGGTGCTTATTTTACATATTTTGGCACAAAACTGTGCAGAATACACAGAACGCCATCAAACTTTCAGAAGGTACTAATTACACAGCGCTTAATCAAATGACAGTTATGTTTGGTAGATGGAGCCACAAATTTTCTTACAATTGATGGGGATCATTTGACCTGAGGGGATCATTTTAGGCACTTTTCCCCTAATTATCGACCTATTTCCATCTTGAATAACTTCGCTAAGATTTTCGAACTTGTGTTGTACTTTATCTACAGTAAGTTGTCTTCAGTTATTAGTTCTGGGCAACACGGTTTTAGGACTGGAAGATCAGTAGTCTACAATCTGTCTGTCTTAACTCAAGAACTCAATGAGGCCCTCGACAAACGTGAACAAGTTGATGTTATTTATACAGATTTTTCTCACGCTTTTGATCTTATTTCTCATGACATCCTTCTTCACAAACTTAATAATCTTGGATTTTCTTCTTCCCCTCTTAAATTGATGGAATCATACTTGACTAATCGCACGAATTATGTATTTTATAATGGATTTATTTCTTTGCCTTTTTGTTCGACCTCATGTGTCCCTCAAGGGTCAAATCTTGCCCTCTCCTTTTTAATTTATATATTAATGATCTTCTCGAATCCTTAGAATGTTGCTTTATCCGATGCTCTTCATCTACAAGCTCAACTAATCAAAATTGTCGAATGGTGTAATTTAAACAAACTTACAATTAATATAAGCAAATGTTGCTTTATATCTTACTTCCCCACACAGCACTTCTTTGATTTTATATATCAAATTGGAGGAACACCTTTGGAACGTAAAACAACTTTCAATGATCTTAGTGTTACATTTGACAGCCAATTGACAATATTTGTAGCGCAACGAATAAATCTTTGGGATTTGTAATGCGGATTTCGAAACTATTTAGTAACATTGATTTAATAAAGACTCTCTTCTTTGTTTATGTACGTAGCAAGCTGGAATATGCATCCTTAATTTGGTATCCAGTATATATGTATCAACATATGCTTCTGGATAAAGTACAAAGAAAATTTTTGAAATTTTTGTCATTCAAACTAGATGGGACTTATCCAAATAGAGGAACAGATGAGAATGATCTTTTGAAACGGCATAACATATCTTCTCTCTCAACAAAATTGACTGTCCTACTGAATTAAAGAAAATCCTGTCAGAAAAAGAACGTTGTCATGCCTGCCTTAAATTTGAACATATATTTGAACAGCTGCCAAACTAAAGTCCCAGTCCTGTAAAGGTAAACACGTAACCTTGATGTGTTCGAAATTTCCAAAGTTGACAAATGGAGAACCTTCAAAAGCTCCACAAACAGAAGGCTTGTGCAACACTCTAAATAACGCTACATATTATGACGGATTTTTATAGACATTAGTGGTCAATTTAAAGGGCAAAGATACCACAAGAAGCCAAGAAATGGGTCACGAAATCCATTCATGCTTTGTTTGGAGGTCTTTCTTCATTGCTATCGTGTCTATTTGGAAAAACCCCGATAAAAGTTACAATTGTCATTTTGAATCCTTGGACCAGGTAGTCATTTGTACTGTATTGGGTATACGAAATGGTCCATGGATGAAAGAACTGCAAGATCCTGTGGTGACCGAATTTGAATCAAATTTTCGCGCTGAATTTAATTAACAGCGGCGCGAAATCACATTTGAATAATTTGAATTTGAGAAAAAAATTCAAACAAAAAGATCGTTAAACATAGGCCTTATGCACGTTTAGTTCTTTTGCTGATAGTTCGTAGATCGCTACGGGATTTTTGTTAGAGGGTTGGTTGGTAAACATGATGGCGAGAGCATGGCTGAAAGCGTGGGCATGTTTTTTTTTTTTCGATAAATTAACAATGCTGTAAATATGTTTTATTGTTTGTAAATTCACCGATCAGGTTAGGGTTTTAATCGTTGCCTGGTTCTAACACAATTTAACAGACATTAGATTTATTTAAACAAACATTTGCTAGGAGTTTTCATGAAATTCACTGGGTCATGACTAGTTTGATTTTGTTCGTCTAATTACACTACTTTACAAGGTTTTATATCCAAAGACAAAAATAGTTGAATCTAAAGGATTTGGGTTCGGGAAATTCAAATCTGAAAACAAAAAAATCCATCACATCAGGTTTTTGAGATATTTATATAAACAAACTCTTGTAATATATAGTTCTTTCTGTAAATTTGTATCAATTTAAAAGATCATTTACGTAAATAAATAACATGAGTGTCAATTTTTCAAGCTACTAGATTGTCATCAATGTTTTACTTAATTTTTTTTTTAAGTATTGATTTTAGAATAATTGATTGCTTTTGATTTTTCTACGGAAAGTGATAATAAAAATGTGAGGTTGGCCTCACAAATATCTTTTTAAAATGATACAAATTTGCTCGAAGAAATACAGGTTTATCTTTAAGAATAAAGAAGTTACAGGGGTTGTATCACTAAAAGCAACACCCAGTATATGTTATAAACATTATGACTGAAAATTAAAAATGATTAACACTAGCGTTTTTTTTATTGACAGTACTGTCAGTTTCTCTTATAATAGACCAACAGTAACACATTTTCGTCCCAAAAACCTTGATACCTTCTGTTTAAGCATATTTGAACAGGTCTTCCTGCTTTAGGTACTATAATTTTACCACAAACGTAACAAAACTGATTTGCACTTTGCGCGATCTCGAAGACTTTTTTTATGCGACAATGCTGCATTAACATAAATCAGTTTAACACTAACGTGAAGGTAAAAGAAAAGTTCGTTATTTAGGATTTATGAAAAAACCTGACGTGATAAGGATTATCCTTTTTTGGATTTGTTATCAGTAAGTAATTTAGAAGTAAAAATATTTTTTTATTTTTGGATATGAAAAAAAGTTTAAATTTGTAAACTAATGTTATTATAAATAAGTGTCTGGACGCATATACGTAAGTGTTACATTATAACGCTTCTTAATTCTTCACACAAGATTACTAATAATTCATTTACGGCAGTTAAATTAACTAATTCGTATTGTGAACTGGCGGGGGGTTAAAATAATTTCTTCTCTTAGGCAGTTATAATCGTTATTATCATCGTGATCATCATCACAACACCGAGGCATGTCCTCGCAACGCTAAAGATTGATTACATCACCGAGGCATGTCCTCGCAACGTTAAAGATTGATTACATCACCGAGGCATTTCCTCGCAACGTTAAAATTTACATCATCGAGGCATTTCCTTCCAACGTTAAAAATTACATCATCGAGACGGTTTTTCCTCGCAACGACGACCGGATATTTTTGTGTTTATTTATTATGTGTTTTGTTTGGGGTCATGAGTTCACGGTATTATAAACTCTCAAAGTAAATTGTTTTTTTTAGTAACCAATCGCTTGGATCATGACATAATTTGACATAATGTAAACTCTTTGGTTGAATCGTTGATAAAGTGTGGCAAGTATTAAATCTCATGTAAATTTTGTTAGCTTTGCAATTTTTCACCTCATACAATATTTCTCTATCTCGCAATTTTAACCTCAGTAATTTTCCTTTGTTGTATAATTTTAAATTGAACGTAAATTTCATGCTGTGCAGTTTTAACCTCACATAATATTTTTATTTTGCACAAGTTTATTTCACACCGGATCTTTTGTTTTTTATAAATCTTTGCTAGTTTTGTTTTGTAAATATATATTTTGTTGATGAATTATCTGATGTCCAATTTTAATCTCAGATAAGAATTATTTGTTGTTTAAAATTTCACAAAATTGTATGACTAATTTAAATGTTGCTTATTGCCCCATGAAACTTTAACACTTGTTCAGTTGTCGAGTTGTCGTTAATATCAGAGTAATAGAAATTGAACATTTAAAATGGAATTGAGGTTAAATAACACAGAAAACGTGGCAGGAGTGGAGTGCGTGGTTCCTAGTCCGGCTGGTGAGATTTATCGCGTCACCTGCATAGAGAATGCAGGTTTGTATATAGTCAGAGGCGGTCGAGATAACGTAACGCTGTCGATTTGACCCAATAGTCAAGACCCATCTGCGAGTTTGCGACCGTAACATCCTGCTCGTAATGGAGAGGTTCTTTGCGGCAGTGCTTTGCGATAGATAGAATCACCGTCGTGGGGGGAAAACAGCCCCAACCGGTAGCCTCAAATTCCGCTTGTGCTAGAACGCCCCTATGGGTATTTTTGTTGTGCTCTTGTTAACTGCCATAATTTTAAATTTGCCGCCACACGCCCATAATAAACCACAAATAACAAGTGAATAGCTAATATTTGTCGATCAAGTTAGTTAAGACACACGTATCTAAAAGATGTTGAATAAATTTTGTCGCTTATAAAAATATAAACGTATTACTGGTTGCCTACCCAACGAGCGCCTAATTTTAAAATCGTTCAAAAATGACTTGACGAAGATGACGTCATCAAATTATTGTCAGGGAACAGCAGATACATTTTGCTTGTGGCATTTACCACCTACACAACGACCTTTAAATACAACCAAAATGTCACAATTGAACTACAGATTAAAAACCAGTAGCGAAAAGTAGCGATCTCGGGCGACTTAAACAATTATTTTTTTTTTATTTAATTCTCTTCCACTTTTTTATTATTTCATTTTTACATACATCGTTTTATTCTCTATATAATTCCATCCTCTACTCGTGAAATTTATTCTTGAAAAAATTGAAAAATCTATCAATATTTCATTCAAGTTCATAATATTGAGTTTGAAAAAATGATGCTTTTGAAACAATTGATTCTAACGCGCCACAGTTGGCATCACTGAATTTAAATGGCAGTACGTTAACCTCAAAAATATCTAGATTTTCAATGGATAATCATAATTTAGTGTGCATGAATATCTCCATTATGTATTATTTAGTTCACATAATTCAAAACAGTGACGGCTTATCTTGACAAAGACACCCCAAGAAAAAAACGAAAAATATATTACACCTTTCTTTATTCTCAGTAATTTAATTTACAGAACCTAAAAAATGTAATCACATTAAATGGAAAAAGAACAGAACTATATACAGTCATCTCTATTATTTACCAGAATGATACCTTACACAAGTACAAGAATATAAAACAATTTACTTATGTTTAGACTTCTTTCTTTTCTTCTGCTTCTTTTTATGTTTCTTCCTCTTCCGTTCTTTATCCTCGTCCGAAGAGTCAGACTCCGACTCCGAACTACTCGAACTCGAATCCTTTCTGCTCCTCTTCTTCCTGTGCTTCTTATGTTTCTTCCTCTTCTTATCGTCATCTGAACTCGACTCGGACGAATCCGAGCTAGACGTCGACTTCTTCTCCTCGCTTTTCTTCTCCCGCTTATCCTCCTTCTCCGACTCGCTCTCCAGATCGTAATCCGGCTCAAAATTAGCCTCGTCTATCGTCGGCTTCCTCTTCTCCGGCACAGTTTTCGACTTCTGCACTTCATCAACCTTCTCTTCGTCTTTCTTCTCCTCATCCTCTTCTTTGTGCTTCTTCGTTTTCTCTTTCTTCACCTTCTTCTCCTTTTTCTTGCGCTTGTCTTTTCGGTCCTCGCTCTCGCTCCTCGACCTCGACCGCTTCCTCTTTTCCTTTTTCTCTTCTTCTTGGTGCGTCTTCGACTTACTCTTGGACCTTTCGCGCCTCTTTTCGTCTCTTCGTCGCACGTCACCTCTATCTCGTCGGTCTCTTCGGGAGAAATCGTCCCGTCTGAAGTCTCTTCGGTTACCGCGATCTCTATGCCGTGACCTTTCTCTCCGTCTTCTGTCAACTAGTTCCACTCTTCGTTCGCCGATTCCGTAGTTTCGGTTAGTTTCGTGCACTCGTCGGGTGAACGGCGAGATACTTCGGGATTTGTTTCGATCGACTTTGACGATTCGGTCAATGTCGTCGATTTTGATGCCGAGGCGCTCTTTCACGGACAATCTAACCGGTGGTTGACTAGGAGCTTCGACTTTTTTCCGTTCGGAATTTTTGTCTTCGGTCAGGGCCATCACGCTCTTGATTTCCACTTCCTCGTCTTTTTCGTCTTCTTTTTCGCCGGAATAGAGTTTGGCTCGGTCCGTGCTGATCTTCTTTATTTCGATGGGGCGAATGGCGTTGATGGCTTTGGCGAAAATGGCATTTTCGGCTCGTTTCAACACCTGTGGACACACATAAAAGAGATTTGACAACCAAACGCGAAATCTTACCTCGTTGGTAACTTTTCCGGACTTGTCTGATTTTAAATCGAACCTTCCGGGCTCTTTGGGACTGGTGTGTGAATTCGGAGTCGCGTCTTCTTCCACTTCCCATTTCGACTTTTCGGGTAGGTGTGCCAACATTTCGTTTTTACCGTCCAAGTCGGTTTTCAAGTCGATATCGGTCGGGTGCAATTCGAGAATATCTTTCTCTGTATCTTCGTACTCTTTCGGAACTTCCGCTTCTTCCTCCTTTTCGGGGAGCTTCTCTTCGAAGTCTCTTTCAACACTGTCTTCTTTGATCTTGCCGTAACTCTCCAGCACGTTCGTGTCCACTCCCTCGGACAACATGTCGTCGTACAAATCCTGTTTTTGCTCCTCGACCGGTTCTTCGACCGGCTCAGGAGTGGGTGCCCGTTCCTTCTGCTCTTCTTCGTCCTTCTGCACCGTTTCCTCTTTCACCTCGTCCTTGTGCTTCTTTTCTTTGTGCTTGTCTTTCTTCTCCTTGCGCTTCTTCCTATCAGAGTCCTTCTTCTCCTTCTTCTTCTTCCGGTCTTTACTCTTCTTGGACTTCTCGTCGTCCGAGACGTTTTTCTTGTCGCGATCGGACGAAACTTCCCTCTTCTTCTTCTTGTGTTTCTCGGGACTCTCCTTATCCTTCGATTTGGACTTTCTCCTGATCGAAGGGCTTCGTTTGCGTTCCGGAGTTCTGCTCTTCTCGTGTTTCTTCTTCTCTTTGTTCTTGGATTCTTCCCGCTTGGGTTCCCTCGGGGGACTGGGGAATCTGTCTTCGAACCTTGTGTTTTCTAGCCCGGGAACTGGAGGTTCCTCGACACCTGGGGGCGCCACGTCGTCGTAGCGTCTCGGCGGCATCATGCCGGGCATGCCGTGAGGTTCCTTGTTACCGAAAGGTGGGTATTCTCTCGGAGGGTACCTAAACACACAGAAAGGCCAATCAAACAAGGAACCCGAGAAACACGAAACGAATTAAATTCAACTGACTTAAACAACTCCACTTAAGCGATATTTTTAGTTGTACGTCAAAAATATCGTTTGTCTTGATGGTGCGTCCTCCGGGGTGGTTGAGGTGAGTCGGCGACCTAAAACATACTTGAGCGGAGTGAAACGTTTGAGTCCGTAAGTGAAATAAACAGCGTTTTTCTGGAATGGTTTATTTTCTTTTAAGTACAATTTTTACAAGAATTGCTTAATTTTTGTCCGTCGGTTGGTACAAAAGACGGAGGAAAAATTAAGGGGTAGTATAAGTGTACAGTCTCATATGTTCACAGCCTTGAAAAACAATAACAGGTACATATAAATCGGTAAACAAAGATTCGATTGTATCACAGTCGGTTGCATTGGTTTACAAAAGTGAAACGTTAGGCATACACAGAGAAACTTTTGTTGTAAAAATAAGAAAAATGAGATCAATGCATAAATTAATACACATGTAGCAATAGAAAAGAACAGTGGTTGCAATTATGCACATATTAGGTACATCGATTTTAGGGGATGAGTGACTGTCATAAACTTTTTTTGTTCGGTTTTTTACGGTACGTTTTACAAGAGTACAAAAAAATCTGGAAGTGTCATAAGTCGTAAATCTGAAAACAATCAGTCCAGTAGTTTCGGAATTATCTGTCATTAAATATAAACATACGCCAAATAGACGTAAACGGAGGACCTATTTTTTCGTACTCTAAAGGTCCTGAAACGTCGAAACATTAAACTATTACTTACGCTCGGGAAGTAAAACACATAAGCAATATTTTCGAAAGTAGCGTGCAGAATTTTGGAAATGGACCCCAAATATTCTGTAAAAAGAAGAATAAACACTGGGAAGAAAAATTAATTTATTCTGAAGATCGGTTATCTCGTAAAATAAAAATCGCACAACTGAAAAATCATATTGTTGAAGATGTGAAAATTTGCAAATTGCAAACTTGAAACAATGAAGTGTCAAATCATAAGTGAAACATTGAAAAAGTTTAAAAAAAAATAAAAATAGAAAATTTGCAAAAAGGAAAAATTGACAATTCCTTTAGTTTCTAAAATTGTTTCACTTTTTCAATTTTACGATTTCTCAATTTTTCGTTTTCATTTCGCAATTTTTCAGTTTCTCCATATTATTTTGTGAATTTTCAATTTTTTATTATACAATTGGAATTTTTCAATTTTTCGATTCCAATTTTTCAATTTGCCGTTTTTAGTTTTTTCAAATTTTGTATATTTTCATTTTTCGTGTTTACAATTATACATTTCTTGAGTTTTTAATTTAAAATTTTTCAATTTTGCGAATATTCAACTTTGAATTTTTACATTTTTTGATTTTTAGATTTTTGTTTCTTTAATTTTACGATTTCTCAATATTTCTGCACCTAAAAAAATTCAAAAATCGCTACACGAAAAATTTTAAAATTCAGAAATTGAAATATCAAAAACTGCAAAATCGAAAATTTGAAAATCTTAGATTTTAAAAATGTTTACTTTTTCAATTTTACGATTTGACAATTTTTCGAGTTTGCAATTGAAAGTACATAATTGAATTTCTCGAGTTTTCAGTTTCCCGATTTATCATTTTTTGAATTTACATTTTTTATTATTCAATGGAATTTTTCAATGTTTCGATTTTTCTATTTTTCGATTCCAATTTTTTGATTTGCAGTTTTTCGTTTTTTTCAAATTTCATATATTTTGATGTTTCGTGTTTACGATTTTCCAACACTTAATTTCGATGTTTCGATTTTTTAATTCACTGTTTCTTCAATTTTCTATCCAAAAGTAGCAAATCGAAAAATTGAAAATCGAAAAACTGAAAAATCTGATAACTGAGAAATCGAAAAACTGAAAATTGTAAAGCTGAAAAGATTTTTTACTTTTTCGATTTTTTTATTTTTCCATTACTCCATTTTTCGATTTTTATTTTTGCAATTTTCAAGATTTTCAATGTTTCAGGTTTCCAATTTAATTATTTCAATTCTTCCATTTTTCAATTTGGAATTTTTCAATTTGTCAATCTTTCGTTTCTTCAATTTTTCGATTTGCAGTTTTTCGATTCTTTAATTTTTCTATATTTTAATTTTTCCTGTTAACGATTTTTCAATTTCTCGATTTTGAATTTTTCGAATTTTTAAAAAAAAAACGAAAAATAGAAAACTTAGAAACTGAAAATCGAAAAATTGAAAAATCAATTGAGAAAGCGAAATACTGCAAAACTGTAAAACTAAAAAATCGAAAAAATGAAAAATCATTCAAGTTTTAAAGATTTTTTTTACTTTATCTATTTTTCCATTTTTCAACTTGTGATCTTTTATTCTGGAATTTCTTTAGTTTTCAATTTTCAGTTTCAAGTTTTTCAACTTTTCGAGTTTTCAACTTTAAGTTCTACAATTTTTTTATATTTCAACTCGAATTTTTAAATTTGTGTAGTTTTTCGATTTTTCAATTGCTCGATTTTTAATTTTTGGATTTTTACGATTTTTGAATTTTTCCTGTCTTTAATTTTATGATTTTCTATCGAAAAATTGAAATGCTGAAAATCGAAAAATAAAAAATCTAGAAATTGAAAATCAAAAAAGTGAAAAATCAGGTAATTGAGAAATCGGAAAATGCAAAACTGTAATCGAAAAATTGAAAAATCAATTACATTTTAAAGATTTTTTAATTTTTACATTTTTCTCATTATTCCACTTCACGATTTTCATTAAGTTTTTCAATGTTTACTTTTAATTTCTCTAGTTTTCAATTTTCAATTCCAAGTTTTTAATTTTTTCGAGTTTTCAACTTTTAAATTTTCCAATTTTTTCACCTCGAGTATTTTAATTTTTGCAGTTTTTCCATTTTTCAGTTTCTCGATTTTTAATTTTTTAATTTTTCGTTTTTGAATTTTCCGTCTCTTTAATTTTATGATTTTGCATCGAAAAATTGAAAAACTGAAAATCAAAAAATTAAAAATCCAGAAATTGACAATCGAAAAAGGGAACAATTTGGTAATTAAGAAATCAAAAAATTGCAAAAACTTGTAAAACTGAAAAATCGAAACAATCAGGAATTTCAGCTAAAAAATCGGAAACATAATTTTAAAAAATCCAAAATTGTAAAATTGAAAAACTGAAAAAACACGAAACATTGTAAAAGGAAAAATTAAAAAATCTTAGTTTTTAACTATTCTTAATATTTCGATTTCACGATTTCGCAGTTTTCCGATTTTTTTTTATTTTCCACTTACTTCATTTTTGAATTCTTATTTTGCAGTTTTCCGATTGTACAATTTTTTTATTTGGAATTTTTCGAGCTGTAAATTCCAGGTTTTTTAATTTTTCGCTTCTTCAACGTGAATTTTTTAGTTTTCTGTTTCTTCAATTTTTCAGTTACTAGATTTTTAATTTTTCGAACTTTCAAACTTTAGTTTCTTTAATTGTTGAAGTTTTCAAATTAATTTTTTTTTCAACTCGCATTTTTTCGATTTTTCAATCTTCGTTTCTTAAAATTTTCAACTTACAATTTTTATATATTTTATTTTCTGGAGTTTACGAATTTTCGTTTCATGAATATTTCGAATTTTCAATTTTAAATTTTTCAATTTTGCGAATATTCAACTTTTGAATTTCTAGATTTTTGTTTCTTTAATTTTACGATTTTCTGTCTTGCTAAAACAAACTTCTAAAATCGAAACAACGAAAAATCTCATATGTTAACAAACATTGAAAAATTTTAAAATGGAAAAATTGAAGTATCAAAAACTGCATAATAGGAAATTTGAAAAATCTTAAATTTTGAAAATATTCACTTTTTCGGCTTCGAGAAATCGGTTTTTCGATTTTGTTTTATTTTCCACTTATTATATAAATATTTAATATTTATTATTATTATATTATTATCATTATTTCACTTTTGGGTTTTTTAGTTTTTCGATTTTTATTTTGCACTTTTCCAAATGTACAATTTTTTTATTTGCAATTTTTCAATTGTTCGATTTTTCAGTTCATATATACTTTAATTTTCCGTGTTTCCGACTTTTGAATTTTTCAGTTACTAGATTTTTAATTTTTAGAAATTTCAATTTTCAGTTTTTTCAATTTTTGAAGTTTTCAAATTAAAATGTTTCAACTCGCATTTTTTCAATTTTTCAATCTTCCGTTTATTAAATTTTTCAATTTACAATTTTTACACGTTTTATTTTCTCGTGTTCACGATTTTTCGTTTCTTAAATTTTTCGAGTTATTATTATTAATTTAAAATTTTTCAATTTTGAGAATGTTCAACTTTTGAATTTTCGCATTTTTGGATTTCTAGATTTTTGTCTTTTTAATTTTCCGATTTCTCAATTTCTCTCTAATTAAAAAAATTGTAAAATCAAAACAACCAAAAATTAACAAACATTGAAAAATTTTAAAGATATTTACTTTTTCGGCTTCGAAAAATCAGTTTTTCCATTTTTTTTTATTTTTCACTTATTTCATTTTTGGATTTTTCAGTTTTCGATTTTTATTATGCAGTTTTCCGAATGTACAATTTTTTGATTTGCAATTTTTGGAGTTTTCAATTACAAATTTTTCAATTCTTCGCTTTTTCAACGTGAAGCTTTTAGTTTTCTGTTTGTTCAATTTTTTTTTGACTCAGTTTATAAAATATTATAATTTTTCGTGTTTCCGACTTTTGGATTCTTCAGTTAGTAGATTTTTAATTTTTCGAAATTTCAATTTTTAGTTTCTTTAATTTTTGAAGTTTTCAATTTTAAATTCTTCAACTAACATTTTTTCAATTTTTCAATCTCTCATTTCTTAAATTTTTCAATTTACAATTTTTACACATTTTATTTTCTCGTGTTTACGATTTTTCGTTTCTTGAATTTTTCGTGTTTTCAATTTAAAATTTTTCAATTTTGTGAATATTCAACTTTGAATTTTTACATTTTTGGATTTCTAGATTTTTGTTTCTTTAATTTTCCGACTTCTCAATTTCTCGCTCGCTAAAAAAACTTGTAAAATCGAAATAACGAAAAATCCCATACGTTAACAAACAGTGAAAAATTTTAAAATTTGAAAAATCTAAAAAAACAAGAAAAAGAAAATTTTTTAAATCGAGAAAATGAAATATCAAAAACTGCATAATCCAAAATTTGAAAAATCTTAAATTTAAAAAATGTTTAGTTTTTCGGTTTCGAGAAATCGGTTTTGCGATTTTTTTTATTTTCCACTTATTTCATTTTTGGATTTTTTAGTTTTCGATTTTTCAGTTTACAGATATTTTAATTTTCCGACTTTTGGATTTTTCAATTACTAGATTTTTAATTTTTCGCAATTTCAATTTCTGGTTTCTTTAATTATGGAAGTTTTCAAATTAAAAATTTTCAAGTCGCATTTTTTCAATTTTTCAATCTTTCGTTTCTTAAATGTTTCAATTTACGATTTTACATATTTTATTGTTTCGTGTTTACGATTTTTCGTTTCTTGAATGTTTCGAGATTTCAGTTTTAAATTTTTACATTTTTCGATTCCTAGATTTCTATAATTTTACATTTCTCAATTTTTCTGCAGCTAAAAAACTTGTAAAATGGAAACACGAAAAATCTCATACGTTAAAAAAAAACTTTGAAGTTGAAAAATCTAAAAAATAGAAAACAGAAAAATTTTTTAAATTGAGAAATTGAATTTTTTTTATTTTCCAATTCCACTTTTCAATTCACAATTTTTAATTGCAATTTTTCGATTGAACAATTTTCGATTTGCAATTTTGGGAGTGTTGAAATTAAAGTTTTTCAATTTTTCGATTTTTCCATTTAAATTTATTTTACTTTTTTCTTTCAGTTTTGGAAGTTTTCATTTTGATTTTTCAACTTCAATTTACCAACATTTTCTTCAGTTTTTACACATTTTATCATGTTACAATTTTTCAGTTTCCCGATCTTTAATTTTTCAAGTTTCCAATTGAAATTTTTCGATTTTTAAATTTTTTGTTTAATTTTTCGGTTTTTCAATTTCCATAAAAAAACTAAAAAGCTAAAAATTTAAAATCGCAAAAGTGAAAAATCAGATAATTAAGAAATCCATCGAAAAATTTTAAAATTGAAAAACCGAAAAATTAGGAAATCAAAAAATTGAAAAAAAGAGACATTGAAAAATCGGATCATTGAAAAATCAAAAATTGCGAAATCGAGAACTGTAAAAAAAATTGTAAAATGGAAAAATTGAAAATTCAAGAACTGAAGAACCAAAAATTGCAAACTGAAAAACTGAAACAAAAAATTGAACATTTTAAAAATTGAAAATTGGAAAAATTGCAAACTGAACATTTGAAAAATCGAAAAATTGAGTAAACTGAAAATTGTCAAAAAAAAAATTGAAAAATCGGAAATGGCAAAAAAACCAGAAATCGTAAAATCGAAGAACTTTAAAAATTCAAAAATCGGTAGCAAATAAAACTCGTTGATATTTTATTTATTTTGTATTTGTATTTTATTAAATAAGTTTTCAACAGGTAGATTCGTCCTTGAAAACAAAAAAAAAAAATGCACAGGATGTAAAGAAAAATAAGTCATGTCTATTCAAACATGACCCTATATATTCAAATAAACCGAATTTATTTATTTTTTGATAAACTTTGACAAGTTTTAGTAAATTTGAAGAAACAACTGCAATAACAGTTTTTTCCGAAGTTTATGACGATCACTCATCTACAATTATTTCCAAAGAACCATCCATCTTGGGAGAATCCCTCAAACTCAACCCTCCCCCAAAATGGACGTCCGCCCGCACTTATCCTCTACGCCCGGTCAAATAAGGTTTCACAAACCCGCCCCACCTTATTCGACCGGAAAACTTCCTACATAAGCATCGACCAAAAAAAAACTTAACAATCCTATTTAACAACAAATCCTTCAATGGGAAACTTCCATGCACCACGCAAATTTCCCATCGAACCTCTCCGAAATAAATACACAAACATCCCATAACAGTGTACAGAAAATAAAAACCAACAACGAACGATCATTAACCAAAACCAACCGCGATCGACAAGATCGAGCAGGCATCGCGATCGTCCCTTGTCTCTCGCATCGCTTACTACGACCGTCGACATGAAAATATCGTCACATATATCACAGTACCTGTTTGGTGGCGGCGGGGCGTAGGGGTGTTGCATCTCGGGCTGGTAGTAGGCTTCGGGGGGCTGCGGCGGCGGCGGGCCGCGGTGCTGGCCCCATCCTCCTGCGGCGGCCCCGGCCTTGCCGCGGCCGCGCTCGTCGTAGCTGTCGTAGTAGGCGTAGTCGCGCTCTCTGTCGCGCTCGTGGTGGCCGCCGCCCTCTCGATCGTCGCGGCCTCGGTGCTCGCGCTCTCGGCTGTAGCCTCGGTCGTCGCGACCGCCGTAGTCGCGGTCGCGATCGCGCTCGTGCTCGTGCTCGTAGTCGCGATCGCGGAACTGGTGGCTGTCTTTGAAACGGTGCCTGAAACAAAGGGGCGGTTGAGGGGCCTGCTGGCGGACTGAGCATACTAGTTAGGGGGGCGAATTTTGGGTGCGGTAGGTGCTAACGATTTAAGAAACGGTTCAACCAATAATACCAAAAACTAAAATAACCTACAATTTTACAACAATATGTGTTATGTAATTTCGGAGATAATAAATATATTTAATAAAATCGTTTACACACGACAAATAAACGGAAATGGAAGACCCACTTTTTCATACTGTAGAAATTATGAACCATCGAGAAAAATTGACTTGAGCTTACGTTCATTGTGGTATTTCTCTAAGCACAATGCGAATGATTTGCATTTAGATTTGTATAAGTGCTACTTAAATCTGTAGTACAAACTACTAACACCTAGAATTGTGTTTCGTAGCTTGCGGCGTTTCAACAGTTATTCAAAAATCCAAATGAAAATGCGTTCAGTTTTATTTATTGACGTCAAGATTGGGATTGAATTAGTAAAATAAGGCTAGCAATTTTGGAACTAGTAGAATTTTAGCAGGTACTAGCCCCGCCCACCCACCCTCTCTTTTCGTAAAGGGTATCTCATTTGCCAAAATCAGTCCTATCTTAGCAAGTACTAAACCCGCCCACCCACCCTGTCTTTTCTTAGAGGGTACGTCATTTGCTAAAATCAGTTTTAACAGGTACTAACCCCACCCACCCGCCCTCTTAATGGATTTTTCTTTTGTTGGTTTTGTCTTTGTCTATAATTTATAAATGTCTTATTAATTTTTTTTTGGTTTATTTATTAATGAAAAATAAAAGTTTTTTTTTATTAATAATAATGCACAACGATTAATGACTACTGGTTGATATGGTTATCCGTCATTTTCCAGACACCTGTATATTAAAATAAAAAGCAAGGGTGGAATAATAAACCACACGTACAGACGCATACTGTTTTCACATTTTAAATAGGATTTATGTGCCAAATTTTTAAGGTGACGTCATCAAACTGTTAATGGGAATGAAAAAAACAAATTTAGAATAGCGTTTCACTATATACACGATATTCCTAAAATATGCCTCAAATTTCGTAACAATATTCTTCTTTTGAGGGACAAGATTATAATTTTTGATATGTACAGTACAAGGACGCAAATATTGTGTTCCCAAAATTTCAAAAAAATTAGTCTCAACAGCTGGTATCACCGTTTTTTTTTTTAATTGGATGTACGTAGTTGCGACTTGCGATAAGAAAAATAAGCAGAATAAATCACTTTATTTTAAAGTTAAAATTTTCAATTTTTTGTTTCAATTTACTATTTTACAATTTTTCGATATTTGCAATTTTTGATCTTTCCATTTCTCTATTATTTCAATTTTTTAATTTCCTATTTTTTTTATTTTTTAGTTTTAAAATGTTTCAATTTTGAGTTTTTATTCTTTGGATTTTACAATTTTGCAAATTTTAGATTTCCCAATAATCTGATTTTCTGTTTTTCGATTTTCAATTCCTGGATTTTCTATTTTTTTATTTTTAGTTTTCAAGTTTTTTATATAAAAGTGGTAAAATCGTAAAATTAAACAAACGAAAATTTTTTAAATCGACAAATTTCGAAATTCAAAAGTTGAAAAATCGATGAATTGAAACTTTTCAAATTGAAAGCTCGAATATGAAAGAACTAGAAGGTGAAAAATCAAAAAAATCGTGAAAATAAAAATTTTAAATGTGTAAAAATTGAAGAAATGGAAAACTGAAAGATCGAAAAATTGACAAATTGAACCTGAAAAATCAAAAAACTAAAAAAATGTAATTTTAAAACTTCCAAAAACTGAAAAAACGAAAAACTGAAAACTCCAAAATTTAAAAATCGAGAAACACAAAAATCGAAAAATTAGAAACGCGATAAATTAAACTATCTATAAATTAGAAAATCGAAAAACTGAGAAACTTAAAGCTGGACACTCGAAAAATGGAATAATTTGAAATTGGAAACTCACGAAATTGCAAGTCAAAAATTTGTACAATTGAAAAATTGTAAAAAAAATTGATAAACTAAAAAATTGGAAAGTGGAATAATAATTGGAAAATCAGAAAAATCTAAAAACTGAGAAATTGTAAAACCGAAAACGTGAACAGTTTCTAAAAACTAAAAGATTCAGATTTCAATCTTGAAATTTTTCGATGTTCCAATTATGACTTATGGGATTTTTCATTGTTTCGATTTTACAATTTTTCGTTTTTTAATGTTTGGTTTTAATTTTTCGATTTTTCAATTTTACCTTTTGCAAGTTTTCAATTCCCCACTTGTCTCATTAGTCAATTCTTCGATTAGTTTCACAATTTTCTATTTTTCGACTTTTAGCTAATTGAAAAACTGTAAAATTGAACAAACGAAAAATCGAAAAACTTAAAAATTCAAAAGTTGAAAATTAGCAAAATTGAAAAATTTTAAATTGGAAGAAAATTCGAAAAATTCAAGAAACGGAAAATCTTAAACACGACAAACTAAAACATTCAAAAATCGAAAAATTGAAGACATGGAAGATTGAAAAATTGAAAAAATGCGAGCCGAAAACCTTAACTTGAAAACTTCAAAAATTACAGAAACTAAAAATTGGAAGTTCGAAAAATTAAAAGTGGCTTAACACGGAAAATTGAAAAATTGAAAAATTCAGGTTGAAAACGCAAAAACTTGGAGTTGCAAGCTCAAAAAATTATACAAATTATACACTCGGAAAACTGCAAAATAAAAATCGAAAAACTGAGAAATCGTAAAATTTAAGAAGAAACATTTTTTAAAACCTAAGAGATTTTTTCAATTTTTCCACTTTGATTTTTCGATAGAAAACCCTAGAATTGAAAAGAAAAATTCAAAAATAGAATAATCAAAAATCGAGAAATTGAAAAATCGAAATCGGAAAATTGATAAATTCAATCTGAAACATCAAAGAATCGAAAATTTTTAAATCGAACACTTCAAAAACTGAAGAAACGAAAAAATGAAAATTATAAAAATAAAAAATCGAGAAACTGAAAATGCGGAAACAGGAAAAATTAAAATATCTACAAACTGAAAAATCGAAAAATTGAAAAACTTAAAATTGAAAACTCGAAAAATGAAAAATTTGAAATTGAAAACTCGCAAAATTGCAAATGAAAAACTGAAGACTTGTAAAAAAAAATAAAAAACGAAAAAATCAAAAAGTGAAACTGGAAAATCAGAAAAATCGAAAAACCGAGAAATCGTAAAAACGAAAGTGTTGAATTTTTTAAAAACTAAAAGATTTTAAAAATTTTCCTGTTTACAATAATTACTGTTTCCGCATTTTTCGATATTTCAGTTTTCAAATTTTTTGATGTTCCTATTATAACTTATTGAGATTTTTAATTATTTCGATTTTACAATTTTTCGTTTTTCAATTTTTGGTTTCATTTTTACATTTTGCAATTTCAGAATTTTCTATTTTTCGACTTTTAGCTAATTGAAAAATTGAACAACCGAAAAATCGAAAAACTGAAAAATTGAAAAATTTAAAACTGAAAGAAAATTCGAGAAATTCAAGAAACGGAAAATCTGGAACACGATAAATTAAGGTATATAAAAATCGAAAAATTGAAGACATGGAAGATTGCAAAATTGAAAGAAATACGACTCGAAAAATTTAAATTTGAAAACCTCAAAAATTACAGAAACTAAAAATTGAAGGTTCGAAAAATTAACAGTGGGGGAAACACGGAAAATTCAAAAATTCGAAAAATTCACGTTAAAAACACGAAAAATTGAAAAACTTGACGTTGAAAGCTCAAAAAATTACATTCGGAAAAGTGCAAAATAAAAATTGAGAAAGTAAAAAGCCCCAAAATGGAATAATTGTAAAATGAAAAAAATCGGAAAACTGGAAAATCGTAAAATTTAAATAGAAATATTTTTAAAAACTAAAAGATTTTTCAATTTTTCCATGTTATAATTTTTCATTTTTTTAATTTCTCGATTTTTCAATTCTTCAATTTTCATTTCACGATTTGTTATTTCCCGATTTTCAACTTTCCAATTTTTCGATAGAAAATCGTAAAATCAAAGAACCGAAAAATTCAAAAATTGATAAATTCGACCTGAAAAATCACAAAACTGAAAAATTTTAAATCGAACATTTAAAAAGCTGAAGAAACGAAAAAATGAAAATTCTAAAAATTAAAAATCGAGAAACTGAAAGATCGGAAACACGAAAAATTAAAGTATTTATAAATTGAAAAATCGAACAATTGAGAAACTTTAGATTGCAAATCAAAAAGTTGTACAATTGAAAAATCGAAAAATTGAGAAATCGTCAAATCGAAAAAGTAAACAATTTTTAAAAACTACAAGATTTTAAAAATTTTCCTCTTCACAATTTTTCAATTTATCGATTGTGTAATTTCTATTAAAATTTTATAACCTCATTTTTTGTTCCTTCAATTTTGAAATTTTTCAATTATAACTTATGAGATTTTTCATTTTACATTTTTTTGTTTTTCAATTTTTAGTTTCAATTTTTCGATTTTTCAATTTTATATTTAGCGAGTTTTCAACTCGTTTTTTTTTTATTTTTCGACTTTCAACTAATTGAAAAACTGTAAAATTGAACAAACGAAAAATCGAAAAATTTAAAAATTCAAAAGTTGAAAATTGGCAAAAATTGAGAAACTTAAAACTAAAGGAAAATTCCAAAAATTCAAGAAACGGAAAATCTTAAGCACGATAAATTAAAATATGTAAAAATTGAAAAATGGAAAAACTTGGAATTAACAGCTCAAAAAATCGCAAATCAAAAAATTATGCGATCGAAAAATTGCAAAATAAAAATCCAAAAACTAGAAAGTCCCAAAATGGAAGTATTGGAAAATCAAAATAATCGAAAAACTGAGAATTAGCAAAATTGAAACAGTAACATTTTTAAAAACTAAGATTTTTCAATTTTTTCATTTTGTAATTTGTCGTTTTTTCAACATCTCGATTGTTAAAACTTTTGATTTTTCAATTATGTATCCGATTTTTCAATGATGACATTTTTCATGTTATAATTTTTCTATTTTACATTGTTGTAATTTTTCGAATTCTCAATTATCCGATTTTTCAGTTTTTCGACTTTCAGTTTATCGATTTGTATTTTCCCGATCTCCAACTTTTCAATTTCTCGACAGAAAATCCTAAAGTTAAAAAAAAAAAATTCAAAAATAGAAAAATCGAGAACTTGAAACGAGAGATCGAAAAATCGAAAAATTAAAAAATTAAAAAATTGATTCAAAAGGAAAATTCAAAAAATTTAAGAAACGGAAAATCTTAAATACGATACATTAAAATATGTATTGAAAAATTGAAGACAGAAAAGATTGAAAATTTGAAAAAAATGCGAGCTGAAAAATTTAGATTTGAAAACTTCAAAAATTAAAGAAACTAAAAATTAAAGTTCAAAGAATTAAAAATAGAGGAACACGGAAAATTTAAAAATCCATAAATTGGAAAATGGCAAAATTGAAGAAACGGAAAATCGAAACATTGAAAAATTCAAGCTGAAAACGCGAAAATTGCAAAACAAAAAATTAATTATACAATAGGAAAATTGCAAAATAAAAATCGAAAAACTAAAAAGACCATAAATGGAATACATAACTGGAAATAAAAAAATCGAAAAACTGGGAACTCGTAAAATTGAAATGGTAATATTTTTAAAAAATGAAAGATTTTTCAATTTATTCATTTTATAATTTTTCATTTTGTCAATTTCTCGATTTTGGTTTTTGGTTTTTCAGTTTTTCGACTTTCAGTTTATCGATTTCCAACTCAATTTTTCGATAGAAAATCGTAAAGTTAAAAAAAACGACAAATTGGAAAATAGAATACATAATCAATAATCGAGAACTTGAAACGAAAGATTCAAAAATCGAAAAATTGAAAAATTCGACTTGAAAAATCGAAAACTGGAAGATTTGAAAAACTGAAAACTTGAAATAATAAAATTCGGGAAATTAAAAAATTGCAAAGTGGAATAAATGAACAATCAGAAAAATCGAAAAAGTAAAAAATCTTTAAAACGTTTTTCAGTTTTACAATTTTTCGATTTCTTATTCTGATTTTTCTGTTTAATAATTTTCAATTTCTCCATTTTTTATTTTTCCACTTCCATTTTTTCAATTTTTCTGTAGAAAATCGTAAAATTAAAAAACGAAAAATTAAAAAATTACAATTGAAAACTCGAAAAATGTACAAACAAAAATTGGAAAAATTGAAAAACGAGAAGATGAAAAATTGAGGAAACGGAAGATTGCAAAATTGAAAAAGTTCAAGAGAAATTGAAACACTTATATTGAAAACCCGAGAAATTGAACAACCTGAAAATCTTTAAAACCTAGAAGATTTTTAATATTTTGATTTTTTATTTTTTGAATTTTGAAATTCTCAATTCTGATTTTTCAATTTCCCGATTTTTTATTTTTCCACTTTCATCTTTTCAATTTTTCTATAGAAAATCGTAAAATTAAAAAAAAACGAAAAATTAAAAAACTAAAATTGAAAACTTAAAAATGTAACAAACAAAAAATTGGAAAAATTGAAAAACGAGAAATTGAGAAACTGAGGAAACGAAAGATTGCGAAATTGAAAAATTCAAGTTGAAAAATGAGAAATTGAAATACTTCAATTGAAAATCCGAAAAATAAAAAATGGAGATGAAAATAACGATCTTAATATCTCTTGTAGAGAATTGCCACACTACCTACCAAAGCATCGGAAACCGAAGTCGACCGAAAACCTGCCTTCGGTACCACAACAACGCTACTAAGAGTAGACGAAAAATTATCATATTTTTTTATTAAAAACTGCACTGGACTGAGTTTGTTAATTCTCAACATAACTTTTTAAAACGATATATCTCATTTTTAATTTGCAACTTCTGAAACCGCGATGATGTTCCCCATGTACTTTAGACAGGACAGTAAATGTCGGTTTTTCATTTTGAGGTTATCATAAAAAACATATTTTAACAAAAAACCACAATCTGAACAGCAATAAGGTGTAAATATATACAACGAATTCTCGTTATTTCATACTTAAGTATACACAAGTAAAAAAGAGTAAACCGACTACACCGAAACACCTCAGTTTTCAACTCTACTAACAATCGTTCGGCAACCTACCAACACCAACTACAATATAAAAATTATTATATAAAGTAACTATATAAAGAGTAAATAAATACGCATGCGTCTTATGAAATCAACTCAAAAAGCAACAACCAAAACTCAATAGACAACAGTAAAATAATCAGGAAAAAGGATTATGGTTGTCGAGGTAGAGTCATCTTCAACTGACCTTGGAGGCGATCGAATGGGCGACCTGTAGCGCGAAGGCCCCCTTCGTCTCGGGGGCGAGTGTCTCGGGGAGAAGTCCCTAAACGGGGAACCCCTCAAACTGCCCGAGAACGATCTCGAGCGCGACCTACAATTAGAACCAATTCAAATTGGACGTTTGCCCCGGCCTGACAAAGACAAAGGACGCAGCAGCGCGGAAATGAAGGCCGACGACCACTCACCTGCTGATCGAGAAGGACCTCGAGCGGCTGCGCGACTGGCGCCTGCGCGGCGAACGACTGCGCAGGCGCCGCGGCGACCGGCTGTAGCTCCTGCTGCGGCTGCGACTCCTGCTGTAGCTGCTGCGCCTCTGGCGCTTGGCGCGCCGCTCGCGCTCGTCCTTTTCGCGCAACATCCGGTTGAAGGCTGCGAGAGGGTCGTCGATGACCCTGTAAGTTCGCCTATTAGAGACAGAAATTAGGACTGTAGTACAGGTCGTGGGGGCTCTCGTGGAACGCCAAGCAGTGAGAATGAAGCTGGGAGAAGAACGGACTCATACTTATGGTATACTTATATTCCTTAATATGTATATGAACAATCTATCTAAACACAACAGGCACAGACTTAAAAAAAATTACCTCCTTTGAAACGATCTAAATTTTTTATTTTAATTATTTTTACATTAGTTACGAAGATACATATAAAGCAAGCACCGATTCGTAAAGCTGAGAAAATTTACCATAGAGAAAATCACTTTTTAGATTGTTGTAACTAAACACATTGTATGCATAAAAATGGTGGATGCGCCGGGCTAGTAAAAAAAATTTTAAAAAATATTTATTTCGAGAATTTTTGGAAACTTTTAACATGAAATAAGGTATTTTGAAACACGTTGTCCATTCCTTCAAGTTATTAACATCTGAAAAGCTTAAACAAAAAATATATTAAATTAACCGGTTTTAAAATGATTTAATTATAAAAAAAATTTTGCAATATTTATTTCCTCTATAGGGTTAAACCCAGTGGCGTAAATAACACTCCCCCAGCTTTTTTGACTTAAATTTTTCAATTGTTCAATTTTTCTTTTTTCTTTTTTTTTTGTTTCTTCAGTTTTTCTATTTTACAACTTCTTCAATTTGGAGTTTTTGTTTCGATTTATTTTGTTTATTTTTTCAGGTATTCGATTTTTCAACATTTGGATTTTATTTTTTGTTTTTTCAGTTTTACTTTTCCCATTTTTTTTTTTCTTCAATGCAAATTTTCCAATTTTTCATTTTTCTTCTTTCTGCGATTTTAAGATTTTACAATTTTTCGATACAAAATTTCTCAAATCTTGAATTTAAATTTATACAATTTTTCGATTTTTCAATGTTACGATTTTTTTTTTTTCGATTTTTAATTTTTTGTTTATTCTTTCTTCAATTTTTCCAATTGCATTTTTTTTGTTTCTTCAGTTTTACGTTGTTTTCAGTTTCCGATTTCCCCACTTTTGAATATTTCAATGTTTAGATTGGCAGTTTCAAGAATTTTCAGCTTTTAATTTTGAAAATTTTCATGTCTTCAATCTTTGCAATTTTTCGTTTCGGTTTTTCTGTTTTTTATTTTCTTTATTGTTTCAATTTCTCGGTTTCCCAATGTTCTGATTTTATAATTTTTGTTTTTTTTTTCTATGTGAAACTTTTAAATTTTTGGATTTCTGAATTTTTCGCTTTTTCAGTCACTAGATTTTTTTAATTTTTCGTTTCTTCAATTTTACCATTTAGAATGTCTCCATTTTGCAATCATGGATTTTAAAACTTCTTCGTTTATTCGAATTTTGTGATTTGCAACTTTTGGGTTTTCAACTTTCAGATTTTTTAATTTTTTCTTTCTTCAATTTTTTGCAATTTTTATAGTTTTCTTTTTAAATATAATAATAATGAAAAAACGAAAATTTATAAAACCGAAAGGAACATTAAATAAATAAAGGAAATGAAAAAACAAACATAAAAAATCGAGAAAATCAAAAATAAAAATCAAGAACTTGAAAATTTTTCAGTTTTCAATTTTTACATTAATCAACCTTTAGATTTTTTTATTTTTTATTTGCAATTTTGCTAGTTTTCATTTTAAATATGTAATAATATTTTTTTTAAATTTATCCACTTTTAAATTTTATGATTTTATAATTTTTCCATTTTTCAAGTATTGAATTTTAAACCTTTTTTTATTTATTCGACTTCTTAAATTTTCGATTTGCAAATTTTCGTGTCGGTTTTTTCTTTATTCTTTATTTTTACAATTTTTGAATCTTTCAATGTTCCGATTTTATAGTTTTTTGCTTTTCCAATTTCAACTTTCTCAAGTTTTCGTTTCTTCTATTTTTCGATTGGCAATTTTTCATTTATTTTAAATTTTTCACTTTTTAGATTTTGCAAATTTTGGATTTATAGTTTCACGAGTTTTCATTTTTTTAATTTTTCGATTTTTCATGTCTGAATTTTTCATGTCGGTTTTTTATTTTCTTATTTTTTCAATTTTTCGGTTTTTCAATGTTCTGATTTTATAATTTTTCTTTTTTTCAATGTGAAACTTAAATTTTTCGTTTTATCAACTTTTACATATTTAATTACTCGTTTTTTCAATTTTTGATTTGCAATTTTCCTAATTTTCATTTTAAATATGTAATAACAACTTTTAAAATTTTTCACTGTCCAATTGTACGATTTTAGAATTTTTCCATTTTTCAATTATTGGATTTTAAAAATTTTCCATTTATTCCACTTTTCAAATTTTCTATTTTCAATTTTGTCGTTCCGTTTTTTTTATTTTCTTTTTTCGATCTTTCAATGTTCCGGATTTATAATTTTTTGTTTTTTCAATTTTTAATTTCAATTTTTAGATTTCGCAATTTTTCGTTCTGGCACTTTCACTAGTTTTCTATTTTTAATTTTTCAATTATTCGTTTTGGTTTTTTATTTTCTTCATATTTTCAATTTTTCAGTTTTTGACCGTTCTTATTTTATATTTTCTTTCTTTCCATGTGAATTTTTTTAATTTTTAGAGTTGTCCAATTTTTCGGTTTTTCAACCATCAGATTTTTAATTTTTCATTTTTTCAATTTTAGATTTCTTTTTCTCAATTTTACAATTTTCCGTTTCTTCAATTTTTGAATTGCAATTTTTCTAATTTTCATTTCAAATATTTAATAATACTTATAAGCTTTAAAATTGTAAAAAGTGTAAACTTTTGCAATTTTTCCATAGTTGAATTTTTCCATTTTACAATTATTGGATTTTAAAATTTTCATTCATTCAATTTTTTAATTTTTGATTTCCTTGATATTTAATTTTTCAATTTTTCGATCTTCCAATGTTACAGTTTTCGTTACAACTTTGACGTTTCTATAATTTTCCAATTTCACAATTTTTGGGCTTTCCAATTTTTCGAATCAACAATTTTTTCGATTTTTAGTTTTGCAATTATTCAATTTTTCGTTTTTTCAGTTCTTCGGCTGGCAATTTTTCGATTTTACATTTTTTCCGATTTTCAGTTTTTAGATTTTTCAACTCTTCGAATTAAAAAAATGGAAAAATTAAAAAATCAAAAATGAAAAAACGAAAAAGTATAAAATGAAAACTGAGGAATCTAAAAATTGGAAAAATCGAAACCAAAAATTGAAAAACAAAACAACAAAAATTGAGAATCTTAAAAATCGAAAAAACAAAGTGTTTTCATTAAAAAATCCGGAAATTTGACAAACCCAAAAATTGCAAAATTGAAAAATTGAGGAATTGAAAAATCAAAAATTGAAAATTTGAAAAATTGAATAAACGAAATTTTACAATCGAAACATTGAAAAAATAGAAATAAAAAAAAACAAAAATTGCGATAAAAAAATAGAAAAAATTAAAATACAGTACTTCAAAAATTGAAAAAACGAAAAATAGAAAAATCGAAAAATTAAAAAATTGAGAAACCGATAAATCGAAAAATGAAAAACTAATACCGAAAAATAGCAAAAGCGAATTACCGAAAAATTATACATTCGAAATAAACACTGAAAAAAGTGGAAATAAAAAAAAACGAAAACTGCGTTAAAAAAAACGATAAAATGAAAATTAAAAAATCAGGAAAATGAAAACTGAAAACCATGAACTTGAAAAATTGAAAAAACCCAAAAATTGAAAAAGTAAAAATTGAGAAACCGATAAATCTAAAAATATATCGAAAAATAGCACAATTGAAAAATTGCAAATCAAAAAATTGAAGAAACGATAAATTGAAGAACTTCAAGTTGAAAAAACGGAAAAATTAAAGTTGAAAAAATCGAAAAATTATGAAACCAAAAGATTGAAAAATAGAAAAATTGAAAAATCCAGCAATTGAAAAACCAAAAATTGAAAATTCGAAAAATTGAATAAATGAAAAATTATAAAATCGAAGCAAACATTGAAAAAATGGAAATAAAAAAGCCAAAAATTGTGATAAAAAAAATCGAGAAAATGAAAATTAAAAAATCGAGAAAATGAAAATCAAGAACTTCAAAAATTGAAAAAACGAAAAATTGAGGAAACGAAAAATCGAAAAATTAAAAACTGAGAAACCGATAAATCGAAAAATGAAAAACTGTAATACCAAAAAACAGCAAATTCGAGTAAACGAAAAATATCCAATCGAAATGAACATTGAAAAAAATGGAAATAAAAAAAAACGAAAAATTATGATAAAAAAATCGAGGAAATGAAAATTAAAAAATCAGGACAATGAAAACTGAAAATCAATAACTTGAAAAATTGAAAAAACGAAAAAATCGGAAAAGTAAAAATTGAGAAACCGATAAATCGAAAAATATATCGAAAAATAGCAAAATTAAAAAACTGCAAATCAAAAAATTGAAGAAACGATAAATTGAAGAAATTAAAGTTGAAAAAACGGAAAAATTAAAGTTGAAAAAAACGAAAAATTATGAAACCGCAAGATTGAAAAATTGATATAAAAGAAAAATCCAGCAATTGAAAACTCAAAAATTGAAAATTTGAAAAATTGAATGAACGAAAAATTATAAAATCGAAACAAATTCAAAAATAGAAATAAAAAGCCTAAAATAGTGATAAAAAAATTAAGAGAATGAAAATTAAAAAATCGGGAAAATGAAAATCAAGAACTTCAAGACTTGAAAAAAAACGAAAAATTGACGAAACGAAAAATTGAAAAATCGAAAAATTAAAAATTGAGAACCGATAAATCGAAAAATTAAAAACTGTACTACCGAAAAATACCAAAATCGAATAAACGAAAAATATCCAATCGAAATAAACATTGAAAAAAATGGAAATAAAAAAAAACGAAAAATTATGATAAAAAAATCGAAAAAAAGAAAATTAAAAAATCGGGAAAATGAAAACTGAAAACCAAGAACATGAAAAATTGAAAAAACGAAAAATTGAAAAATCAAAAAATATAGAAACAAAAAATTAAAAAAATGAAAGTTGAAAAACCGAAAAATTGAAAAAATTAAAGTAGAAAAAAACCAAAAATTATGAAACCGAAACACTGAAAAATAGAAAAATGAAAAAAAAAATGAAAAAACGAAAAATTGCAAAATCGAAGGAAAAGGAAAACGAAAAATTGTGATATCAAAAAAATGGTCAAAGGTAAATAAATCCCGATTTTTCGAGAAAAGTTGTAAGATTTGATTTTCGATTTTTTTTTAATAACCTTTATAAGTAAAAATAAAGATATGTATGTAATGTTAAAGTAAATTCTAATGTAATAGCCTCATTCATAATTTTTTTTTTATTCATTGATGAACGACAAGCATTTTTCTGAGAAGATTTATTACGTTAAATTCTGCGATAACGTCAGCAGTTTTTTTGGGATGAGTTAAACGAATTAATTTTGATAAAGATTTGCCACGATTAAGATAACCTTGAAACGTTTACAAGATTTCACAGCATTCGGTTTTGCAGTTTCAAAGTTAACTTGCAAAATGTTGTTACACAATTCTGATTTTTTTACAGAAATCTAGATATCTAGGGTAAAGAAAACTCAAACGAATTCATACATCACAAATGCAGAAGTATCTTACTTTATAGGATTAAAAAAATATATACATTATTGGAAATTTTAGAGATGTCATTCCATTGGTTGGTGTTTTACCACCTACACACAAAATTTGACAACAATCGGTCCAGTAGTTTCGGAGATTATCTGTCTAATAAAAATTGATACAGACTGCAGACAGACGGGAAGTAAAAATTGAAAAAAAGTCCGTTTTTCTCCATACGATGATAACAATGGCGATTGGCTAGTCTCAGACGCCTTCGTCGAATAAACATACCCTGATGGCGTCCGCCCTCTCATCCTCCGATCGTTCATCCCGTAGTCCCTGTGGTGCGAACGCGAACCTTGATACGACGGGTTGTACATGGGGGGCGGTCCCGACATGGGCGGTCTGCTCGTGTCGAACATGGGCCTAGGCGGCACCTGATAGGGTCCCGGAGGCATGTAGGGCGGGGCTCCGGGCGGTGGCAACCTAAAGTTTGGAGGCGGGCCGTTCGTCGGAGGGAAATTCCCCATGGGAGCTGGCGGATTGGCATAGCCTGGAGGCAAGTTTGGAGGCGGTCCTTGCATTGGCGGTACCATACCCATCATGGGCGGGGCGTTGTACGACCGAACGTCTGGAGGAGGGTAATTGGAGTTGGCGGAGACGCCGGGCTCGTCCACGGTTGGGGTACCGGCTCTTTCTTCAGAACGTCTGTGAAATTTAATTAAAAAAAAAATAACAAAAATGTGTCAAGTGGAAATTACCCTGTATCCCTGTATGGTGAGTTCCGGTGGTTGCGATGGTGGCGCCGCGGCGACTCATCACGTGACCGGTGCTTATGCTGCCTGGTATTCCCAGAACGCTCTCGCGGCTCACGATTTGAGTTAATCCTTTTTGAGATCGACTGGGTTTTAGGTGATTCAGCGGGAGAGACCCCAGGCGGACCCTCCGGAATAGTCTCAGTTTCAGTCTTTGGAGAATGCTTAACATCCTCTTCCTAAAATAGGAATTCAAACGAGATTAACTTAAGTACTAACACGTCATTCAAAATGACTCACTTTCTCTTCAGTTTTCGCGTGCTCAGTCGAATCGGCCTCGCTTATCACCGTCTTCTCTTCCGTCTCCACCTTCGCCGCCTCCACCTGCGGCTGACTCACCGCCTCCTTCGTCTTCACCACCACCGGCTCCTCCCTCTGCTTGTACGCCAACTTCTTAACGTACCCCGTCGTATTCTTAAAATTCGCCACTGAGTTTCTCAAAAACCGGTTAGGAATCAGCGTCGCCGGCGAGATGTCCTTCTCGTGGCAGTCGGGACACTCGTGCTCCTCGCTCTCGAGCAGGAAACTCCTGATACATTCATCACAGAAAGAGTTGCCGCAGCATGGGATCATGACCGCGTCCGTCAGCAAGTCGGAACAAATCGAGCACACCAGATCCTCGGGTATTTCCGGTTTCACTTCTTGTAGGGGCGCCTGAGGGGCCTGTTTCTGGGTGTAGGTTTGGTGGTCCAACACCGGGACCGCGTAGGAGCCGTTCGGGGTCATCATGGCCCCCTGCACTTGGGGGCCTTCCACCGGCACCATGAAACTCAGCGGGATGCCAGTGCTCTTTTTTATTTCGATCGGCTCGGGGCCCTTGCTCAGGGGGCAGTCCTTGATCCAGTGGCCTGTCTGGTGGCACTTGTAGCAACGGTAGTTGGGGGGCACAGCTCCGATTTGGTTGGCGCCGCGGATTTTCAAGTAGCTGGAATGATACGTTACGAAATGAGTTAACTTGAACCAACGATTCTTAAGCCAATCACTGTTTAGCAGCTCTTGTTATTGTAAATTGTCGAGGTCACGTCATACCATTGTTAGCGGAGAGGATTAGACAAATTTTGGCTAAAGTTTTATTTTTTAATAAGATATGAAGCATTGAGGCAACCAATTATACAGATGCGTGTTGTATTTGTCGTGAGTCATTGGGCATGAGGTCCATATAAAGTGAGAGGAGGCACGTTTCGATGACCTACTTCGACCCTATTACAATGTATAACCAAATAATGATGATTCTAACAATGTAACTTTCACTGTACTAATGTTTTTAAATTTCTAATAAAAAAATCTTTCTTTGGTACTTGCACAAAAGGCGTATTGAAATTTTCAACATGCGAAGTTTTCTATTGAAGATTTTTTTCGACTACTTTTTCGTCTGCTAGGGGTCATGAAACGCCGAGAAATCATATAGCAACTGAAATTTTATCCATGCGCCCCTATTTTACGGATGAAGAATAAAATAAAACTTCAACAAATGATGATAAACTACTATAGAAAAAACCGCCAAGATATTATTTCTAAAAATGGGTATAAAATTATTTATACTGAACTTTCCTCGACCCTGAAGACTAATCAAACAAATCCATGTAAGCATAAAAAATTGATAAACCACAAGTATATACTCAGATTTGACACATTTTAAATATGTATCCAGCAAAATTTTGAGATCACGTCATCAAGTTTTAAACAGATAAATTTTTGTTAACGATTTACCGTTCTTAAGACAACCTTAAGTGAAACCACTCTGAAGTTTTCAGGACATTCAATATTGAAGCTTTTAAGTCCAAAAAATCAAGCGGATTCATAAACTAGAAGAATAGAATATTTACAGTATTTTATAAAATTTAAATAACATTTTCTATGCTAAGTTTTGAGTTGACGTCAGAAGTCATTGGTGGGGATGATCAGACAAATTTTGTTTAGCGTTTTTATTATTAATTATTTAAAACAATTTTGGCGGTCTTTGGTGTTCTATTTTTTGAAAATTCTGACCTGACCTGTTTTTGAGTTAATTTTCGGACCCCGTTTTTTTTTTTGGAAAATTTAAAACAATCTTCGAGGTTCTAGGTATTCCTACTTGAAAAGAATTTGAAAGTGCTTTGCCAAAATCAGTCTTATCTTAGTAGGTACTAGCTCTTTAAGAAAATAAAGGGCGGGTGGGCGGGGCTAGTAATTGCTAAGATAAAACTGATATTGCCAGATGGCATACTCTCAAAGATACTTGTCAAGATAAGAGTGATTTTGCCAAATGATATACCCTCTATTCTTCATTTTCTTAGAAAGTAGGTCATTTGCCAAAATCAGTATTATCTTAGTAGATACTAGCCCTCTAAGAATATAAAAGGCGGGTGGGCGGGGCTAGTACTTGCTAAGATAAAATTGCAATTGCCAAAGGGCATACCCTCGAAGAAAATAAAGGGTGGGTAGGTTCTATACTTGCCAAGATAAAACTGATTTTGCCAAATGATATACCATCTATCCTTCATTTTCTTAGAGAGTCGGTCATTTGCCAATATCAGTCTTATCTTAGCAGGTACTAGCCCCGCCCACCCACCCTCTCTTTTCTTACAGAGTATGTGATTTGCCAAAATCAGTCTTTCTTAGCAGATACTAGCCCCGCCCACCCACCCTCTCTTTTCTTAAAGAGTATGTCATTGCCAAAAACACAAACTTGTAAATAGTAAATGGGTTTTAAATTGTATAAAATAACATAATCCTACACATGTTTATGATTCCGAGTTTTTACCCGAAACGTAAAGAATTTTGAAAATTAATCAAAACCGAATAATTTGAAATCTTGCATATGTTTTAAGGTTATAAACAGCATAATAAATTTTTAGTCAAAATATATTTGCTTATTAATTAAATATTAAATAGTGAAACTAATACAGATAATTTACTTATATTTTTTAAATAAGAAAAAAACAAAATCTGAAAAACAAAAAGTTTTTTTCTCCAACATACTTTTTCCGTTGCTTATTTTAAAGCAGTAAATTTACGTGGGCTATTATTCTCAGTTGGTAAATTTTGAATATATAAAATTTTATAACAATCAATCCAGTAGTTTCGGATATTGTATCTAAAAAATCGCCAAAAGGCCACAAATGGCAGAGACAAATGACACACGACCTTCACTTTAATTCAGGTCACACGAATTACAGTTCGTCGTTTGAGAACTTGTTTGATCTACAGACCAGAGCGCACTCAGGCCAATGTCGACTCTAAGCGTTCGGAAACGATTTGATTTATAAGCCATGATCCGTGATCTGATACACATCCTAACCGGTTTCGACCATAATTTCTGCTGTTTCAGTTTTCGAATTCTCAGTTTTTGGAAATTTTAGTTTGGGGACTTTTCAGTTTTCTCCTATTTATTTTTCAATTTTTGGATTTTACAATTTCTCAATTTTTCAATTTCTCGATTTTCAGTTTTTCTCTTCAATTTTACGATTTTTAAATATTTCGATTTTTCAATTTTTGACTTTTTTTTATAAACTCTTTATTTGTCGATTTTTCAATTAATTGATTTTTGAGGTTTTTTGTTTTTTCATTTTTCTATTTTTTCAGGTTTCGATTTTTCAACTTCACTTTTTTGTTTTTTTAATTTCTCAAATTTATTTTTAATTTCTCAGTTTTTGCACATTTCAGTTTTGGGATTTTTCAGTTTACTTATTATTCAATTTTTATTCGATCTTACGATTTTGCAGGCTTTTGATTTTTCAATTTTTCGATTTTTTTAAAGCTTCGATATTTCGACTTCACTTTTTTGATTTTTCGATTTCTCAATTTTTCGATTCTTTAGGTTCTCAGTTTTTGGATATTTCAGTTTTGGGATTTTTCAATATTTCTGTTCTTCGATTTTTCCCTTTTCGACTTCTGGATTTTTCGATGTGTCGGCTTTTTATTTTTTCGATTTTTAAATTTTAGATTTCTCAATTTTTTGGTTTTTTAATTTTTCAATTTTAAAATTTTAGATTTTTCGATTTCTCGATTTTTCATTTCAGCTCTTCCATATTTCAATTTTTCAAATGTTTCGATTTCTAAATCTTCCGACTTTTCGACTTCCCGGTTTTAGATTTTCTGTTTTTCAATTGTCGTTTTTTTCAATTTTTCGATTTTTAAATTTTAAATTTTTCGGTTTTTTGATATTTTAATTTTTCAATATTTAAAATTTTTGATTTTTTGATTTCTCGATTTTTCATTTCAGTTCTTCGATATTTCAGTTTTTCAAGTTTTCAAATTTTTCAAATGTTTCGATTTCTAAATCTTCCGATTTTTCGACTTCCCAGTTATAGATTTTCTGTTTTTTATTGTCGTTTTTTCAATTTTTCGATTTTTAAATTTTAAATTTTTCAGTTTTTTGATATTTTAATTTTTCAATATTTAAAATTTTAGATTTTTCGATTTCTCGAGTTTTCATTTCAGTTCTTCGAGATATCAGTTTTTCAAGTTTTCGAATTTTTCAAATGTTTTGATTTCTAAATCTTCCGATTTTTCGACTTCCCGGTTTTAGATTTTCTGTTTTTCAATTGTCATTTTGTCAAATTTTCGATTTTTCAATTTTTCAAATTTCACATTTATAAACTGTCAATTTTCCGACTTTTCAATTCATCGATGTTTTGATTTTCCCATTTCTTGACTTTCGAGGGTTTCTTCAATTATTTAATTTTTCCATTTTTCAGGTTTTTGATTTTTTATTTGTTAATTTTTTTAAGGTTTCAATTTTTCGACTTTTTAGGTTCTCAGTTTTTCGATATTTCAGTTTTGGGATTTTTCAATATTTTGACTCTTCAACTTTTCGATTTTTGGCTTCTGGAGTTTTCGATGTGTCGATTTTTTTACTTTTTCAATTTTTCGATTGCTTAATTTTTCAATTTTTCGACTTTCCGGTTTTAGATTTTCTGTTTTTCAATTGTCATTTTGTCAAATTTTCGATTTAATTTTTCAAATTTGACTTTCATAAAGTCTCAATTTTTCGATTTTTCAATTAATCGATGTTTTGATTTTCCCATTTCTTGACCTTCGAGTGTTTCGATTTTCCTGTTCTTCAATTCTTTAATTTTTTGATTTTTGAGGTTTTTGATTTTTCAATTTTTCGATTTTTTAAGGTTTCTATTTTTCGACTTCACTTTTTTGATTTTTTGATTTTTCAATTTTAGATTTTTCAGTTTTAGGATTTTTCAATATTTCAAATCTTCGACTTTTTTATTTTTGACTTCTGGGTTTTTCGATGTGTCAACCTTTTTACATTTTCGATTTTTCAATTTTTGGACTTTTAAATTTTAGATTTTTCAATCTTTTGATATTTTAATTTTTCAATATTTCTTAATCTTTCTATTTTTCGACTTCCTGGTGTTGGATGTTGTTTTTCAATTTTTCGATTTGTTAATTTTTCATTCCCGATTTATCGAGATTTGATTGTTCAGGTTTTCGATTTATCAGTTTTTCAAATTTTTATTTTCGCCTATTTCGGTTTCCCAGTTTTTCCAGTTTTCCATTTTTTCGTTTTTTGATTTTTCCGCTTTTCCAATTTTTCAACTTTTAACTTTTTGTTTGTCGATTTCTCTATTTTTTGATTTTTCGACTTCATCACTTTTCGATTTCTCGTTCTTTAGATCTTTCAATCTCTTAATTTTTCAATTTTTCGAATTTTTAAGTTTTTTGATTTTTCGATATTTTGACTGTCAATTTCTCAATTTATAAATTGTTCAATTTTTAACTTTCCGATTTTGACCTATTTCGGTTTCTGAATTGTTTGACTTTTCGACTCCACGATTTCTTGATCTTTTGATTTTTCGATTTCTCAGTTTTTCTATTTTCCAGTTTTGTCTCGATTTTTCGTTATTCGGTTTTTAAATTTTAGATTTTTGAATTTTACATTTTTTCGATTTTCAGTTCTTCGAGAGTTCGATTTTTCAAAGTTTCGGTTTAATGATTTTTTAAGGTTTCCATTTTTCGAATTTTCGATTGTTTTAATTGTTTTTTGTTTTTTTTTTTTTTCTCGCTGTTAATATCATACACTGTATCGAAAACAACCACAAAAATTGTCACTAAAAACATTAAAAAAAAATTCATACAAAATAGAACACAGTGTTTCCAAAACGTTTTCCCGAAAAAAATCCATTGGGTTATTACGATTTCAACAATATTCTTAGTTTAAGACGTTTTGCTAGTATAAAATACAAATAAAGAATCAATTCTTAGTTAAACAGAATAACGAACGCTTAGAGTCGACATTGGCCTGAGCGCACTCTGGTCTGTAAATCAAACAAGTTCTCGGGCGACGAGTTGTAGTGAAACAAGCAGTTGAGGGCGGTTTTGCAAAATCAGCCTGGATGTCGCATCTATATAATCTATGCACAGACTACGGACAGACGACTGTATATTAAAATAAAATGTTAGAGAAACCATATTTTACACAATCAACAAAATTAGTTGATCTACATATTCAATAATTATTGTTGTCGATGATTTCAGTTCAGAAATAATCCATAGCAGTTCATTATCGTTCAATTACCTGCTCGAGTATATGCAACCAAACATACACTTGGCAGATGAAGCATAAACCTTCATCAATCAAGGCGGCTGACTTGTCAGTAACGTCAAAAATTTAATTTTTTTTAAATAAACTACTTTGTTTCGCTTGTAAACTGTCAATTGTGGGCTTCGAAATGGGACAACGGGACACAAAAATGGAATAACAAAAATGTATATTTAGGTGCATTTTTACTTTTTATTTTCAAACTTCTGAAAATTGCGATCAACGAAAAAATATTGCAACTATAACACGTTGGTTAGTTGATCAAAATTTACCTGTAGAAATATTTTTTACAACATTGCTTAATAAAATTTTGAGATGATTATGATGGAGTAAATTACATAAACAGAATATTAAAAAAATACTAAAAAAAAAGAATAACAAAGAAAAACTTTATATTTAAATGCTCACAGTAACTGTAAAATGTCATATCAACAAAATAAGTTTTATTGTAATAATGACAAATATTCCATTAATTTATTTAATCAATACAAACGTAAGAACTTTTAATATACTCACAAATTTAATCAGTCTCAGTAATTTCTTTAAGAGAAAATATCATGGTGACAATTTTATTCACATCAAGCTCAATTATTAGGCAGTAAACCATTCTCTAAGAGTACAATACTTTATCACAGTCCTGTAAGACAAAAACGCTTAACATTCAGATATATTTAAAAAATAACTGATCTGAGTCTTGAACCCTGAGGAAAATGGAAGTCATAGAGGTACAATTTTTCCACAAAATGAAGGATAATTGGAATTCAATGTACAACAGAATTCACAAAAATGCCAAAAATCTGAGTGAATCACTAATAGTGTGTATTATGTGTTGCCTGCACTGTATTATTTGACCCAATTTGTTTTTTTTTACACAACTTTCCCTTGAATGTAGCCTTACAAATGAAATTATCATACTCAACACAGTTAAATATTATTCCTTCTCCTTCCACATATGAATACTACTACACCGCCCTAAAATATTAGTAAACTCCGCCTTACAACACAACAAAGTCTGAAAGACATAAAAAAAGATGCAAACTTCGCCCACTCTGGTAACTAAACCCGACTCACACTCCCCAAAACAACTACACACTTACTTGCTAGGATCATAATCTTGAGTCGATTGCGACATCATAGCCTTAATCTTATCATCCTCGGGCGCATCTAAACTTGACAAATCTACAGCTTTGGCAATCGGACCCCCTTCATCAAGCTTCGTGGGCGGGGTGGCGTCGCCCCCATACCCTTCCCACTGCTTGCTCTTGGTTTGTGCCGAAGTCGGTATTCTCGCAATCAGCAGCGACGTGTTCTTTGGAATCAACACATTCTCGTCTTCATAAACTACAAACGCGCGTTTTCGAATCACAACAACCACACTTTGCGTCAAAACTCACCCTCTTTCGTTTGCGCGTTCGTCACTTGAAGGTCAAAGTCAGTATTTTTACCGATCCTCTTCTGCTGGATGATGGCATTCTTTAAGTCTTTCACTGAAATGTGCAAGCCATCGAAAGTGACTGTGTCGTACTCTAAGGCCGATTTGAACTTGTAATGCACCGACATTTTCGGAAGTCTTATAAGAGATCAGATTTACCTAGAAAGGTAATTGCAGTTGGCACAATTAGGGATGCGTATACTCACAGTGAAGTTTTATGTTAATTAGGTGTGTAGTGATGATTAGGAAACACATCAAGAATTATTAGTAGCTAGTGTTGTTTTATGTTTTATTTGATTATTTTTGGAAAGCCACTGCAACAAACATCTTTATTTATGCGTGACATTTGACAGTTTGGTCAAAATGGCGGTGGGGCTAAGCGTAGGTCGCGATCGGACGGACAATCCATGCGCATAAACCGATTTTTCTCACAAATATTCGATTTTCACACGAAAAGAGAACAAATTGTTGGAACAGTGGTCGCTTTTGATATTATTATGTATTGGTTTGCGATTTTGTTGTGCAGGCGTCCTCTCTTTAGTCGCTTTTTTCAATTTGATAAGGCGCCAAAAAACTGCCATACAAAAACTGACACTTATCTCCTATACAATTTTACAAGAATACTCGCTACCCATTTTTCGTACTTTCACCATTAATAATGGCTAATTTCCACCTCCATGAAGATCCTGAATATCTAGTCGAAAATGTAAGACCTAAACGCTTTCAGAACGCCATTAAGGAATTTCCTGGACAAGCCAAGAAGAACAGACTCGCACTACAAACTTTGAGTACTTATCAGCAGAACTGTAAGCAGCAGACGAAACAACAAGGTGGTGAAAAAGTCACGGTGAGTCTTTTTACCAATTTTGAGTAAAATCAAACGCAATTTTGTCCACAGAGGGTACCAGAGAAAAAAGCTGTTTCACCGGTTTCTTCTGATGAACTCATCAAACTCAAGTCGGTGTTCAAAAGAAGAAACGTTGTAACGCGGTTGCCACCACACGAAAGTAACGAATATGACGACGACATAATGGAATATTTAAACTACTTTGAGAAAAAAATGTTCAAGATTAAACCAAACTATATGGTCAAACAAGACCATGTAAATTACGGCATGAGAAGTACTTTAATAGACTGGTTAGTTTCGGTTGCAGAGGAGTATCAAATGAACGAACAAACCCTTCACCTTAGCGTCAACTACTTGGACCGCTTTCTAAGCTACATATCTGTGGTAAGTTCTACCTTGTGCATCCACCTCAATGTAACTCATTTTTTCCAAGATAAAAGAAAAATTCCAACTGGTAGGGGCAACTGCGATGATGATCGCTGGCAAAGTAGAAGAAATCTACCCTCCAAACACCAGCGAATGGTCTTATTTAACCGGAAACACCTACAAGCCCGAGCAGCTAGTCAAAATGGAACAACTCATGCTCAAAGTTCTCAACTTTGAGATAAACGCACCTACGATTTTGGATTTTCTCTTGCTGTTGTGTTCAAAGTACAGGGTAGATAGTAAAACTATGTACTTAGCAATGGTAAGATTTAAATTAAGTGTAGGTAAAAGGGAGTCAAGGTGATTCTTTTAGTACTTGAGCGAGTTGGTACTACTGGAGGGTGAAGGATACTTGCAATATTACCCATCGACGTTGGCAGCAGCGTCGCTGGTTTTGGCGCGACACACGTTATTCAAAGCGGATCCATGGCCGCCGAAAATGGCGGAAACGGCAGGGTACAGTTTGAGACAGTTGAGCCCTATAGTGCAGAAGCAGCACAAGACTTTCAAGAGTTCGCCGTTCAAAGAACGGGAAGCTGTTCGAAATAAATACTCCAGCGACAAGTACCAAAGGGTGGCTCTGGTGAAACCGAGAGTGTTGGTGCTTGAGGAAGACGAAGAGTGAATGTGGGAGATATATCTATGTTATGTGTGACTGAGATTGTTTCAATTGTTGGAAATTATATGTGAGAGCTTTATTAGATAAAGTATATTGATGTTGCTTATTAAATAAATATTATTTACATGTTATACCGTGCGTTTATTAGTTATTTAGATCAGTAGAGGCTGTGGACTTGAATTGAATTGACAGATTCTGCTTATCAATACAATCTCCAGATACAAAGGAAAATTACAAATTCCCCCTCCATCAAGTTACTTTGCCTCACGTTGTGCAATAGTGTAGAAATTTAGTAGAGTGAAAATCTTTTGCAGTCCTACGAGTAAGTGTTGGTGTAATCGACAAGTATTATATTTGTGATGGAGACCACAGAGCAATCAATGCCTTCTGACATAATTCCGACCCGCAACTATACAAGCGCTTCAGAGAAAAGTCTTTGGTGGTATATCAAAAGAACAAATAAAGATTACTATGGAGTAGGTAATGGTAAATCTCGCTATGATGGTGTATGGCCCCAAGCATTTCGAACACGACGGTCCTATAGTGGATTCACGACTCGTGGTTATGAACAACGCGAAATGTGGACGCAGGCATTGCGAATAACCCTTGGAAATAACAACGACATTGGTGCTTTGGTAAGGTTGACGAACTCGTACTTCTTGGTTGGTGGTGAAGACGAAGCAGAGAATTTTTGCAGGTACTAATTAATGTGAGGTTAGAGTTAAACACAGGAGAGGCAACGCTGTATTTCCAGTGGCGGCTCGTGATCCTAGAGCAGTGGTTCGCAAACTTTTATTATTGATGGCACCCCGCCAAGAACAGTTTTAATTGTAACTAATTTATTATCAAAAACACTTTATCACATGATTGTATAATATGTGATTGATGTTAAGGTTGTTTTATAAATATTTGTTTTCCATAATTTAAGCTTGTCTTTTAAAGCCAAAATTTTTTCACTGGAGGTTAAAATTTCTATTTTATTTAAGTGTTCAAAAATATTAGTTTAATTTGCTAGTTTTGCACACCAAACGTGGTCTTGAAGGAGGTCAAAAAATAGTGCAATATTTTCTGATTCAAAAAACGTTTATATCTGTTTTCTTAATTCCCAAAATCGGGAAAGAACACGGCCTTTAGATAGCCATCTTACTTCAGTATGAAGAAAAATAACATGTTCAGAACACATTTTCCATTACTGAACAGTTGTAGCATATTAATAAAATCATATCATCAATTATTATTTTTTAAAGTTGGTGTTGTGCTTATATTTATTAAAATCATTATAAAATTTTCACGGCACCCTCTTGGGAGATCTGCGGCACCCAGCATACGGTATTTGTGCCGAAGAACCTGTATGTATGCGCATGCCTGAGCTGTCACTGAAAAACCCGGTAAATTCAAACGCAGGTGTTTACACTTGTCATTTAAAAAATGTGGCAAATTGAAATATATGTAATCTCATCGAATTACCAAAAGGATTAACCCACAGTTATCACAACAGAATTTGTATCGAAATGATAAATATAATTCATAATAATTTGATCATCGTTTGTGTTTGCGTATAACCTGCCTTAAAATTTAATATTAATGTACTTAGGGCCACACCAAAAACTGTATAATCATACTTTCAATCAAGCGTAACATACAAAAAACGCATAAAATAAAAATGTATTTGTAAAAAAATTGTATTTGCTTTATAAAAATAATCTGAATCAACAAAAAATACAACAACAGAATTCATCTTTACCTAACAGAAAATACATAGTAATAGTAGCAGTAATAAAAATTATAATTACTAAATTGGAGAAATAAAATTCTCATCCTATTATTTATAAAGGTGATTCTATGAGGACCTATTAATAACCCATGTCACAAAAATCCACTCATTTCTCTATTGTTTCTGTAACCAATCAGTTCATAATAATGTTGCTTCATATTTGTTCACTTACGGGATAATATTGCTGCGGCTCTTGCACTCTTTTCTTTGTTAAATTCTTCTCGTTTTTTTTTCTTAACCATCCATCGATATTGCTCATAAGTTCTTTAAAATCATCTATGTTAAGTGCATTCAAAGTATTATTAAGTGACTCCTGCTTTAATTTTCGAAAAGTTTCATCATCCAATGGCAACGGTGTTTGCTGATTATTTTCTATTAACATTTTTACTTCTTCATTTTTCTGCATATCACAATAATTGTGTTCATTTTCTGTTTCCATTAATACTCTCTTACAATAATTATGTTCTTCTATATCTGTAAAAGTGTCTTTAGTCGCCCTAACCCACATTCATACCGTTCCCTTTCAAACAAAGCAACCATATGCATGTGCTTGCATAAATTATTTTTTACCATAAACTCAGGACACTGGCATTTGTAATGATGCAAACAGATTTGGCAAACTACACAATACATGAGCCTACAATCATTTCTACACACTCTGTCTCCATACACAACCTTATAAATCTTATTGGAATTAGATCTTACTGAAAACTCTCCAAAACCAACTTCCTCCACCATATTTTGTAAATTTTCTGATTTTCTATGTCTGTCTCTTACAATTCTGCTTTGATACGTTTCTGTAGAAGGTCTTTCTGTTTCTATTATTCTGTTCCATTCCTTGTCTTCCAATACTCTTGTCTAACATATCCAATAACTTCTCTATTGTATTATTTCTCTTCTTATTCAACTCATCATATTTAATAAATTTGTTCAGACTTTCAATTGCCATATTTGTATTGATCCCAGCATTTAGTCTGTAACAGTGAGCCCACATTTTAATACGTTCCATATTCTGAAAATAATGTTTTTTTAAATAATTCAAAAAATTAATTTCCCCCGCTTCAAAAAGTATCTGAAAATAACTGTTGTATAGCTCTTTAAATTTATCTTCATTTGTTTCCTTTAAAATTTTTCCCATCTCGGTCTTCATATTTTTCTTCAATTCTGTATTTTTTAATTTTGCTTTGCCTTGAATGTTCCAATTTTTTATAATATGCCAACTACACAATAACTGTCTTGGTTTTGTTTCCATAACGTTTATCCATGCATTATAATATTTTGGGTCATCATCTGTCATAAAATAGGTGGGACATAATTTTTCAACAACTTTTTTCTTTAAAGCATCTAAAAAAATTTCAAAAATTAACTGATCTTTTCTACTAGACACTAAAAATGCAACGGGAAAACCAACACCCCTATCATCTTTAACTAAAACTGTTGTTAACTCCCATCCTCTAATATTTGTGTTGTGCGTCCCATCCATACAAATAATATTTGTGAATTGTTTCAATTTAGATTCCATCACCTGGTTCATAAAGCCCACTGCAAAATCTTCATCTCTAAGAATGGAATGCCTTTCCCTACAAGCCAAGCTAAGCATGTGCTAAACAACCAACACCACCAACTACAATTTACATGCATGAATATTTCTCTTAATTTACAGATTTTAAACAAAAATTTTACCTAATTGTAAAAAACCACATGCTAACAAAATAATAATAATCATATACATTACCAATTTGTTTAAATAAAAATCCATAATTTTGGCCACGTTGATTCCATTCATGCAAAACCTTTATTGTTGTTGCAGCCATATCATCAGCATTTCTAGTTTTTGATAAACTTCGACTCATGTTTCTCAAATCCATTTTTGTTAATAAGTGTAGTCTTTCCAATTTATTTCCTTTAATGGTCCGAGCATCTTCTAATATTTTCTTTTTACATACTTCATTCTTCAATTTTGAATAAATTTCTTGTGTTTCATTTTTTGTCAACCCTTGATATCTCAGCTCATCTTCATGTCCTAAATGTGTTTTTATATATTTAATTTTCACTGTTCCTATAAACAATTGATGCAATTAATATACAGTAAAGTGTGCACATAGACAACATACCTTCATCAAAAATTTTTGCAGTGATTCTTGATGGACAAGTACCACAGATTTTCTTGCTACCCCTTGCTGCCTTTGGAAATCTCTTAAATGCTTTACTTTCATAGCCTAAAATGTCCAATAATACAATATATTCTTAACAAATTACAATAATAATGTACCATTGTAGCTACTGTTGCAGTTATAATATATCAGCTGATAGGGGTAACGCACATCTTTCTTTTGCTTTCGACTAATATATTTAACATCTCTTCGTTCTTCGCAAATCCAATTTTTAAAATCTTCATGACTTAGTATTAATTCTTCTACCTCTAATGTTATATTATGCTTTATTTCAAGATGAGTTTTGAGTTCTTCATGGGATTTCAAATTTCTCTCTGGTTCATCCCCACACATTGGACAAAAAATCTTTGTTTTGCAAATCCTACCAACACTTTGATCACGGTGAAAACGCCTAAAATGTCTATTCCTGGAAGTAGCAAAATTAAATTGTTTGTCACAGACAGAACACTTTATGGATTCCATTCTGGAAGAATATAGAAAAAGTGCGTTCAGACTATAGTGACAGCAATTAATGATCTTTTGCCTTTCCCGCCTTTTTGTAATGACACTAGGCTTAGGGATTTCTTCACGCCAACTGTTTTTCGAAGTTGGCAGTCCTGAATGTTCTTATGCACAAATACCGTATGCTGCGGCACCCTAGTGTGCCGCGGCACCCAGTTTGCGAACCACTGTCCTAGAGATTAGGGGGTCAAACTAGATTTAAAAAAGTTGGCGCTAAGTTTACTGCATTTAAATTTGCTTACATTAAAAAAAAAAAAACAATATAACTGACATTTTCTACTCCTAAATCGAATAAAAAAATTGTTACAGGACTGTTCAAGGCGATCTGCCTGATATTCCTGTGATAAGAACTTCCTTAAGCGGGTGTAGAGTAATTGGGCGAATGTGCGTGGGAAACAATCATGGTCTTCTTGTACCTGAAGCGATTTACGACACAGAATTAGACCACATTAGAGACAAAATACCGGAGCCCATCCAAATTAAAAAAATAGAAGAAAGGTTATCAGCATTAGGAAACGTGGTTGTATGTAATGATCAGGTTGCCCTGGTACATCCAGAATTGGACAAGGTACGTGATACTTTTCCAATAAAGTACATTGTGTAACAGAAACGATCTTACTCATTTATCACGGATAGGAAAATGTTATGAGCTAGATATCGTCACACTCGACTACGAAGCGTGCAGTGTGTATATTGTGAATTGATTTTGTTTTACAGGAAAGCGAAGAAATGATCGAAGATACGTTACAAGTTGAAGTTTTTCGTCATGTGATAGCCAATAATCCTCTTGTTGGTTCATACTGTGTTTTAAATAATAATGGAGGGTTAGTGCACGTTGATATCAGTCAAACTGATCTTGAAGATTTATCGTCACTACTAGGGTTACCTCTAATCGTAAGCGGAAGACATTTTTCTGAGTAAATAACTACACTATACTTTTATTTGTAGCCTGGAACAGTTAATTATGGCAACAAAGCCGTAGCAGCAGGGGTAGCGGCAAATGATACTATTGCATATGCAGGAATGAAAACAACATCAAGAGAATTTTTGGCTATCGAAGAGGCGTTCAGGTTACCAGGACGCGGTTAATGAAGAGACTACAATATATGTACATAGTTTCTTTGTGATGATTTCCGTATATTTATTTATTTAATTTTGTATTTCCTGTAATTGGATTTTTCTGTTGGAAATAAATTATTATTATTACAAAGCAACAAACTTTAATTTGACTGATAACAAAATCATCACATCCGACAGACAGTCGGAAAGGGAAGACCTACTTTTCCATACACTGTTGTCCATCGTTTAAGGCCGGATTAACTTGACTTCCTTAGCCCATTGCAATGTAACTATGATTATATAATATTTAGCGTTTCCGAAATAAAACAAAAACAAATTGAAAACTGCTATATTTGTATCAAAATACTTTACAAGTTGGAATACGTGGAATCTGAACAATTGAGTACACAAAATAGTAAAAATCATAGTTCTAATTACAAATATTTGAAAATAATGTGACGTCAGTCAGAATCATTGAAATATTACAATGTTAATATAGCTCCGTTTCATAGGTAAGTATTTTCTTATGTACAGGACTTACAGGAAGCCCATTAATGAGTGCATAAAACTGTTTGGCGTTTCTGATATTAAACCTCTCGATGAAATAACTACGAAAAACGTTCCGAGCCAGTTCGACCAACAACGGAACCGTCGGTCGACTGAGCCACACATCTGCATTTACAATCCCTTCATGTTGACACAGTAAATGTAACTTCGAATGTACAAAATAAGGCAACAGTTCGCATAGATTCTGGGGAGGGTAGTACGGACTCGAATCTTGCAAATAATTTTCCAAAGTTATATTAACATCGTATATAAACACCAACAAAGAATTTTTAATATGTTGCTTGCTGACGGTTTTTTCTATATCCATATGCAATGCTATTTTCAATAATTCTCCATACCCGTACCGTTTATAAAAAGCCTTCAAATGCGACTCGTTCAGTCTCAAACCGTAAGACAACAAATAATACACATTTTCAACAATCATAGATTCGCCATGCCTGACAGCCACTAAAAAGTAAATATAAAATATGTCACTAAAGATGACGATGAAATTGATGGTGTCGTGACGCAAGTCACTTCCAAGAAGAAAATCTAAATTCCGAATAAACGTGGGTTCAATAAAACTGGACATTTTATAAACTGTGAATTTAACCTGGGCGAAAACTTGGGCTATTGCGTCGCCACATTTTTTTATCAAAACATCTAAATACTCGACATCGATTAAAAACAGAAGGTGGTAATAGGACATGGGCGGATTTCCCAAAATGACGTTGTTTGTCCGTTGGACTATTTCGTGGAAAAACGGCGATCTTTTGTTGGCCAGTTTTAACAATATCTCGAAATGGATATCTACACAAGTATACTGATCGAAAGTGTAGTAAAACAACGCTTCTTCTACAGAAAACGAATTGAATTTTACCGCAAATTCAAAAGTACTGTAACCGAAAATGGTACCTATTGTCGGGTCAGCTCCATAATAGAGCAAAGCTGCCACTAACTCTGCTCCGACTACATCTGTGGAGCTGACAAGTAGACAGAACCACAGCGGTGACAATTGTTTGCTGGTTAACGCGTTTACGTCGTAACCCAGCTCCATTAGAAGTTTTGACACTTTGACTAAAGATTTATTGAGAGAGTGGTGTAGAAGTGTGGCCCCATCTTCAAGCGAAACGGTGTTAACAGATGCCCCTCTTTTAATCAGTTCGTAAGAAATGTGGTCACAGAATTCGCCCTTTCCGCGTAACGCTAGAGCCAACGCTGTCAGGTGGTCGTTGTTCTCATGATCCAAGGGAAAGTCGGGTAGTGATAGTAAGTAGTCACAAACTTCTTTGCTAAAATTAATGAAAGCACGGTTTGTCGTTATTTAATAGAGAGATTAATAAAAAATATACCCACTTTTGGTGGATAATGCCAATTTGTAAGAGAGAATTACCGTCTTCTGGATTGTCGATTTTGTACCAATCTGTACAATTTGAGAAATATTTAAGGGAGTCGACTTCATTTTGAACGACGGCGGCGATCAAAGCAGCACTTTTATTTACCTAAAAAATATATAACCACGTAATAAATAATCACAAAAGTCGTGGTAAAAGTGAACAAAATGTCAACATGGCAACATAAACGTACAGAGTAACAAATTCTGAGGGACTACAGAAATGTAGTAGCATCATAAGAATGCTGACGTCACGGCATAGAAATATGGTATTTTATAAAATTTAAGTAGGATTTACTTACCTTATTTGTTGGAGAGGACATTCCTCAAATACGTGTACATAAACGTTCAACAATCATCAAGTAGTTTCGGAATGACCTTTTAAATAAAATCGACAAAAGACGAAAGACAGTAGTGTTCAAGTTCCAAACACAGTACAACAATAAGATTTCACCGCTTACAAATGGGTGTAACAATCCACAATACTGACTTACGCCACTACGTGCAGCGGTAAAACAAACTGTACAAATTTGTATAACGTTAATTTAACGTGATGTCTGTACGACACCATAAAACTAGAACTTTTTGTCAGTTAGCTTTTTTAACTTCATACCTATGAGAAATGAATTCTAATCAAAGTGTTGGTTTTTCAACTAACATTATGGAGTTATGCAACCAATTAAACACAACCGCAAAAAATGAAATGATGAAATAGACGGATCAATTCAGTGTCCACATGTAAAAACTAACCGTTTACGAGAATTTCAACTCCATACTTTTTAGCAACGCTGTATATTATTTAAATTTATATGCACATAATAATCGCTAAAGTAATGGTAAAAGTAAACATCACAAGGATAAAAATTACAAACTTTGTTTTTCACCATAGAAAAATAACTCTTCTTGACGATGCGGGTTGAAAACACCTGTTTTTTGTACTCATCTGTCAATACTCTAAATTCTCGTTGCTAAATTTCCTCTCTTCATTTATAACTTCAAGTTTTTTTGCCAACATTGTGCAACATGATGTCAATGTTAGATTTGCGGCAGTGTATAAAACCAGTGCCTCCACTGATCATCTAGGGGTTAGTATTGTTGGTGTGATCGACAAGTATTGTAACATTTATCATGGAGATAACAGAGCAGTCTATGCAATCCGACGTAATTCCAACACGCAACTACAACTACACAAGAGCTTCAGAGAAAAACCTTTGGTGGTATATCAAAAGAGCAAATAAAGATTATAGATACTACGTTGGGTAATGGTAAATGGCGCTATGAGGGTGCACGACCGCAAGTATTTCGAACACGACGGTCATATAACATATCACTCCGACCCCATTGAAATGTGGACCCACGCTTTAGGAATAACACTTGGAAATAACAACGACATATGTACTTTTGTACGGTTGACGAACTCGTACTTCTTGGTTGGGGGCGAAGACGAAGCGGAATATTTTTGCAAGTATATAATCTATATTAATAAAAATGAATCGCCGAAATGTATGTACGCCCATAACTTGAGAACGACTGCACCGAATTGGACGATTCTTTTTTTTACGTGTTCCTTATCGTCAGGAGAAGGTTTATATGTAAGAATATTTATAAAAAATAAGACGGCTAAAAGATAAAAAAAAATTTAAAAATTTTGCACGGGAATCGCCACTTCGAATGAATTTGGATAGTTGGTCATTCCTGACGGACCTGTCGCCTGACTGACGTGTCACACAAAACTATTTCTTCCGTTCGATTGTGAAACGTATTATTGCATTTCAAGTCGTTTGTTTTTTCGTAACAAAAAACGTCGTTTATTTCAAGAAAAGTGTTCGTTAAAGTGAATTCAGTTACGTATTGCATACGTTACCTATGTTCACTTTGTTGGTTTCGACAAAACCTCAAACGTTACCGTTATTCGAGGATTTGATTTGAAGTTTTCAGTATTTTAAAATTCTCAAGACAAAATTTACAGATTTGATTGACTGTGAAAATAATTCTGTGTCGTTTTATGAAGTTCATTACAATGCCGAGAAGACGACAAGCTGACATAGGTCCACGAAGTCAATCAAATGTGCGAGGAACCACCTCAGGTACAAATCGCAGTGATTTATTTCATGAGTAATTCGGATACGGAGGTTGATCAGTGTCGTGCTTATAATCAACATAATCAAACACTGAAGCGAGACATTGGGTGGTATGAATAAAACTGAGTAGATACTCATATTCGAAGTACGAAGTACCTACTTCATTATTACTCTTATATACCTGAGCATCTACCCGATGTACTGTGTATCTACTTGCGAACATTGTATCTCCCCGGACACAAATTGAACATTTACGCGTTTTGTGAACATTTAATCTAAAAATGAGCATCGGCGTGCCAAATGACTATTTGTCCTTATAAATGATAAATTAAATGTAATATATTTATATTTTTGTTTCCTTAAGAATATAGAGTTAACAAAGTTAGTTGAGTTACAAAAGTCTCTTTTGCTCCACGTTGGCCACCAACGAGCGATTTTCATGATTTTTGTGAAACTTTGCTGGTTTTGAATTTGAATTTTCTGTCCTCGATAGTTGATGCTCAGCAAGAACCACGGGAAGGTCTGGAGCAGATCTCGCTAGGAAAGGAGAAGGCTAGGATTTGTTAATGATGGATAGAACGTTATACAGTACAATACAACGGAAATACAATACAGGTACCTACAATCTAGCTACAATACAGAATACACTACAGGTACAGATACAATACAAATGCAAAGTTAGTACCCAATACACCACCGGAAGAAATTGCACCAAAAATTGAGAGTGTTGCAAAATGAAAACCCAAGCAAGCACACCGATGGAACTCGGGACGAAATCTATTGGTCGCAGCGCTCACACGCCCAAGGGAGAACGCAGCCGCATAAACCCAAGGTCGTCTTACCTCATTCTCAAAGAACGATGCAACCCAGCGTCTAAGGGCCAAAAGAACCCCCCCAGGCCAAAGCGTCTGACGACATGGAGAATTCAAACCCGGAACCAAAGAATGCACTGTTGCAAAATTAATACCCAAGCAAGCACACCGATGGAACTCGAAACGAAATCTATAGGTCGCAGCGCTCACACGCCCAAGGGAGAAAGCAGCCGCATAGATACAGGGCCGACTGACCTCATCCGTTTAGGATGATGAACCTCATCCGTTTAGGATGATGACCCAGCGTCTAAGGGCCAACAGAACCCC